CCCACCCTGTAATAGTGGTAGAATAGGAATATAGTACCGCCCTAATATAATCCTTATAGGCCCTATTTCAAGGTAAGGGCAGCTTCTAGACCCTACCCTATACCCTAAACCCTAAACCCCAAACCCTAAACCCTACACCCTACACCCTACGCCCTAAACCCTAAACCCCAGCCTAGACCCTGAAGCCCAAAGCTTAAACCCTACCCTATACCAAGCCCTAAGTCCGAAAATCCCAACTTAGACTTCGAGTCCCCCATTGCCAAACAAGCCCTGGAACCGACACAATCAAAAAATCCGAAAATCAATCAACAAATCCGAAATCCCCAAACACGAAATCTCCAACCCTAGAACCTGCTATAGAAGCCTGTTATTACCATGGGAAATCTGAATAACTATTACACCATACATACTGTACCCTAGAACCCTGCTCTACTCATAGTTAAAGGCCCCATATTGTAGGGTTTAGGGTTTGGAGAACCTCGGACCTTAAAACCCAAATTTTCCCAGTGACGCTCCGCAAGCGCCCGCCGCCAGAGCCACGCCGGCGTGCGCGTGGAGGGCGCCGGGCTCTTGGTTTGGAGCCGCGGGCCTGTCACAGCTTAGTGTTCTAAGGTTCTTGAACAGCTTGGAGGTTCATGGGTAGTTATAAGTGGGGTTATAAGTAAGGTAACTAGCATTATAACTCATATTAAGGGACTTATAACCATACTTATAACTACCCATGACCCTCCAAGAGAGTTTTGGTGTGGTTGTCGAGATTTAGAATTGAGTTTTAGGGCTGGGGAGGGGTTCGGATTTGGGCTTTAGAGTTTCGGGCTCGGGGCCCGGATCTTCGTACTGGGCACTGTAAGTATCAAGATGACGATGACGGCGATGATGATAACGATGATGGTGATGCTGACGCTGATGATGCTGATGACGATGGTGATAGTCGTGGTGATGTCGCGGATGAAGATGAACGTGAAGAAGATGAAGACTGAATTGATACTGACAATAACGGAGATGGTAACACTGATCACTGCTGTGAGTATGACGAATTCCACCAGAACTCAAGTCAAGCACGATGAACCTGATGAGCATGCTGTGAATATGACGTGCATCGTCCTCGACACTAATCTGGGCGTGGTGAGGAGTCTGGCCACCATGCCTTCGTTGGAATTACAACAAGATTTGCTAACCTGATTCTGGCGGATCAAGGAGCTTGAGGAGTTAGCAACACTTACCCTGAAACACATACTTCGTGTAGAACATTTAGGCTTATGGTTTAGGTTTAGGGGTGATAGCCTTACCCATCACAAGGGCTTTCAATGACTACGTTACTTACACTTTGAGCAACCAAGCTAATGACAACGGCGGCTTCAATGGTTGCCATGACTACCATGGTCCTCGTAGCAACCACAAGAGTTTTGGCTGCCAGTGTAACCATACTATGACGTTATGAGCACCGCGGTTTTGCGACTGTTTCCAAGAACGCGAATATCTTGTTGGATCTGGTGCGCGCGGAGAGTATGGCTACGGTTTCCTGCTGCAAGTATGACGGTTGCCATGGCTGTTGTACATGCAGCAGCTTTGCACAGCATAATCCCTGCGGCAGTACAAAACAGCTTTCGATGTAGTCTGTCGATCATGAACTACAGGCTGTTAGAACTGCAACACACCTTAAGCTGCTTGCGATGCCCACACCCAAGAACGCGGAGCCAAAGCCCAATGACCCAAAGCTGAATCCGACCTTACGTCCCTGAGCGTCCAAAAGTCAAAGGCTCTAAGCCCAATTCTCGCTATGACAAGAACTATCAAGTAAACACTAACAATGATAGAAACACGCCGCATCCACATGCTCAATTTCATCCCGAGCTGCCCAAGCCGAAGCAGCCACCCTGCAGCCCCGACCTAGACAATGCAATCCTACACCCTTACATACACCCAAAAATAAATCCCAAGCCCCCTGAAACCCGGAAACCCGAAGCCTGAACCCAACCCCTACACCCCAACAAAACCGCACCCCGTCCCTCCCCAGACCCTAAACCCCTCCCACCCCCCTTCCCACCCCCTCCGACCCCGTACCTACTCCGAGGTGTCGGAAGCACTGGCGCCTGGCCCTGAAGGGAACTCCAATTTAGGGTTCAGGGCTCAGGTTAAGATATCAGGGCCTAGGTTAAGGATCCGTTGTGGGTTTTGGGTCTGGGGGTAGGGCCTAGTCTCGTTCAGTCAGCATAGGCTGTTTGATGTTGTTTCTGTAGGGTTTGAGACGGGTGTGGCAGGATTGATCTGGCTTGAGGGCCTGGGGCCTAGGGTTGCTGAACCAAATCCCAAGTGCCAAAAGTCAAGCTGTGCTTTTTGTTGATATGGGACTTTCGCTCCAGGCTGATATTAGGGTTCCTGTCAACTGTCCGATTTTCCGGTTGCCGTTGAGAGCGATCGCTCCGGAAACGACAAAAGAAAATCCTCCCAAGACCTGGCCGAGCCGCTCCCGGAGTGACAAAGGCAGCGAGCATCGTAGGGCAACAGCTGCCAGGTAGGCAAAGGTGGCACACGGGCCGTAAAGGTGCTGCGGCGAAAAAACCCTAAACCCTAAACCCTAAACCACAAGGGCTTCTGAAAGCTAAGGGGGGTTCCATCGGTTGTGTCGGGCCTCAGGGTTTAGGATCGATTCGGATAGATGGCCCTGTTTGAGGTTTCCGTCTGCAAGTACAATCATCCTACTGTTGGGGCAAGAAAAGGGCTTCTCCCAAAACTAGGCTTCTAAGTTGGGGCTACTTCTCGAAACTTAGAGCAAATGGGCTTCGACTCAGGATTGCGAGACATGTCTGAGATCGTTCATCTCAGATGAAGATGCTGGGCGATCCTCTTTCAAGGAAAGACGCAGCACAGACCAAGAAAGACAGAACTCCAGAATGTCAACTGACAGAAGGCGGCAAGTTTAGTATAGCAGCCTTGACAATCAGAATACGAGTTCAGGGCATGTAAGTGTTTCTTTATACACACACACACACAGAGGAATGCATACTAAGATAGGTAGATAGATAGACAGGTAGATAGATAGGGAGATACGTAGATAGATTCACTATTCCTTACTTAGAGGTCTACACCAGGGTCTGCAGTTCTTTGCCGAAGGGGCTCGGAGGCTCGATATTTTCCATCTTAAGATGACGGGCTTCGGGTTTAGAGTCACGACAGAAGCCCTTAATCGGCTTTAGGGTTCGGGGCTTGGGGTTGTGGGTTTAGGGTTTAGGGGTTGTGGGTTTAGGGTTTAGGGGTTTAGGGTTTAGGGTTCAGGGTTTAGGGTTTAGGGTTTAGGGTTCAGGGTTTAGGGTTTAGGGTTTAGGGTGGAGGACGTCAGGTTCAGAAGTTATTGCAATGCTTCGAATCACTTAACCCGATGACTCAAAACGCTAGGCTCCTCAACCTCAAGCCCGTTAACCTCAAACCCGACACCTCCTGGGGATCCGCCGGAATAATGATGGTTACAGTTACAATAATCGTCATCATCCTATACATACATAGAATATAGAATAGGAATCGAAACAAGAATCAGAATACCCCCGTTTGCCCTAAGGCCCTACAGCCTGAACCCCAAACCAACCAAGAGCCCTACATTCCCCAGCCAGCGCCTTGAGAAACTTCCCTGTCTGCTTCGAGATCCCTGATTGATGCCTGGCATAAGCTACCATAGTGGCCGTAGTAACTGTGCGAAAGGGCGTTGGGGTTGGGGTTTAAGGTAGGGCCGCAGTACGTAAAAAGAGGGCCTCAAGGGTTTATTGAGTAGGGGGCTTATCAGGGTTCCAGCATCTACCTGTGGCCCAAAAGGCCTAGTGATCCCCCCCTAAAAAAAAAGTAATGACTGTAATAACTTATTAAGGCCCCTATAGTACAACACAAGATGGCAGGGCCGGCGGTTGCCGCTAGGCATTTGGGTAACGGTAACCGTGTCGAAACATGCCGAAATGTTACACTGGTAGCCTGGTTCATATTTGGAAAGAAGTATGCGAGTAACGTTCACAGTAGCAGCACTAGCAACAAACAGCACAACCGCTCACCAAAAGGAAAGGATGAGTCATCCTTGTTGACAACAGTATTACCCGCCGTCATAGGCAATAGTCAACATGAGCCGAAGCATGCCGAATGAGCGGTGTCACTGCATGCCAGATCGCCATACCAAGCGTTACCAATCTAATGCATACAAGATCACTTCCTTCTGTTCCGGGTTTCTATATGCAAGAAGCGCTCCTGCTTGCTCCAGCATCCGCGAAATTGCTCTGGCCGCCAAGAGGCTTGTCCTGGAGCTTAGGGTTTAGGGCTTAGGGTTTATAGGGTTTAGGGTCCCTTGAGCATTTTACGTGTTGGACACCGCGGCCTTTGTCCGCTTGCTACCGACAGGACTTGGTCGGTCATATGCCAACATCACAGACATGAGCTCACCTGCAAAGCTTCTAGTCATCTAGTCGTGCTCAGCATGTCTCCGGCAAAACCTTTCGGAGGCGTGAAGAGGAGTGATCCTCGCTAAAATGAAACCCTGAACCAGAAACCCCTGAACCCTAAACCCATAAACTATAAACCCGAAAACCCTAAACCCAATGCTACTGTTGTACCCGATATACCAAGGGCCTAGCGGCGGAGGATCGTGGCTCTCGTTTTGGAGAGATCACCTCGGGAAGGCCGAGGAGCAGAGAGCTTAAAAACAGGCCTAGAGTTGCACGTGAGCTCTGCGGATGGAGTCGACACTCCTTAAAAAGGGGGTTATATAGGGGACTACTCTTGTTACCTTAGGGGATACTAAGGGGGAAAATAGGAGCACATGATTAACAACTTTGAAGGTGTTCGTCTCCGGCAGTTGTGTCGTCTTGCCTCAGGCTTTTAAACAGATTCACCAGAGGGCTCAGCCCTGCGGAAGATGAAAACGCGTGCAATTCCCTTTCTAGGCAATCTCAATTAATTCGATACTCTTTACTTGTATGACTAAAAGAAGGAACACCATACAAATAGGTTAAAAACTTGTGGCCTCAAGAAGCCTGGCAGCTGCAGTTCTCACAGGTCAAGGTGGCCTCAACACAGCGCCTCACCGGCTCTGCCAGCGTGTTGTTGTACAACACAAGCCACTGAAGGGAGGTCAAGCCCTGGAAGACATTTTCCGGGAGCTCTGCCAGCCTGTTCCAGCCCAAATCCAGAAACTCAAGAGAGGTCAAGCCCTGGAAGACATTTTCCGGGAGCTCTGCCAGCCTGTTCCAGCGCAAATCCAGAAACTCAAGAGAGGTCAAGCCCTGGAAGACATTTTCTGGGAGCTCTGCCAGCCTGTTCCAGCACAAATCCAGCATCTCAAGGGAGGTCAAGCCCCGGAAGACCTTCTCCGGGAGCTCTGCCAGGTCGTTACCATCCAAATCCAGCCTCTTGAGGGAGGTCAAGCCCTGGAAGACCAATTCCGGGAGCTCTGCCAGCCTGATGGAGCTCAAATCCAGCGACTGCAGGGAGGTTAAGCCTGCAAAGGCGTGGGCGGAGACATTGCAGATCTTGTTGTGGTTGATGTCCAGGACTCGGAGTCTGTGGAGCTGCGCAAACGTGCCGTCCTTCAAGGCCGTCAGCTCGTTCTTGCTGACATCCAGCACTTCCAGCCACTGGTTATGCGTGAAGTCAGGCAAGCTCGCTAACCGGTTCCCACGCACGATTTCTCTCCCCCAGCCGTTTTTGGCGGTCTTGCCGCCTAGAAGGAGCTGCTCCAAGCCGAGCAGCGGTTTGAGAACCTGGGTCGGGAGGTCGGTGATATTGTTTTCGCTGAGTGACAGGAGGCGCAGCTGCGCCAGGCCCTCGAAGGCCTCATCCTCCAGGTGCTCGAGGTGTCCTCTGCCCAGGTCCAGGACTTCCAGGCAGCTCAGGCGCCGGAACCGTTTCGCCGGCAGCGAGATCAACGTGTTGTTGGCGAGGGATAGGCGCCGCACATAGCAGCCTAAGGGGTCGAAAGCTCCTTGGGCGATGCTGTGAACGCCGGGCAGGGCCAGCTCCGGCTGTCGGAGTACGGCTGCTAATCGGCAGCTTTCCAGGCGCCTCGCCTCCTGAGAGCAGCGGCACGGGAAGCAGCTGAAGTCGCCGGAGTGGCCAGGGTACACGTCCGGAGAGCGAAGAAGCAGGAAGAGCACCAGGAGCAGCATGGGAGAGTACAGTGCCTTGAGGCATCGAAGCACCAGCCGGCCATGACGGGCAGGAAAGACCGTGCGGTGAATGATCGGTCGCTTCGACTGCTTTGGCTCCACAAGCTCTGCAGAGCTTTCGCCTAGATCCTTGGCACGCTCGACAGAGCGGCAGGCACAACAGGTGTGCGCAAGGCTGATGTACACCGCCAGGAACTGCAGGATGTCAGAAGGGAAAGCGAAGGTTGGGCTGATGCCTCAGTGCACACGACGCGAACTGCCCGAAAGTGCTGGTGGCACTTACATTCGTGCTCAACTCTGCTCAAGCTGCTGTTACTCAGGTCCAGCTCCTCCGCATCCCCGAAGTTGCCACGCACTGCCGTCTCCAGCGTCAGCTCGGACATGGCGGTCACCTGAGCCGTGCTTAACTGACTCTCGGCATGGCCTTCTCTAGATCTTGCAGTTTCATGTCAACAAGGAGCCACGGTGAGCAAGTAGGTGAGCATGTATCCCAGATCCATGCCTATGTCCATGACGGCAGCACCTCGGCTTTGTCCCCTGCAGGAAGACACACCGTCTACACTTCCCCTCACCGTCACTCGGTCTCGCTCACTCCGAGGAGCCATAGCGACACCAGCGGGAATCTGGCCGCACAAAGAGGATACTTGGGTACAGGCTGTTCAAGGTCAGCAGCGCATAGAAGATCCAGAAGCATCGTTTCAGCACCGAGGCTGCTGGGACGTTCTGATACATTGCAAAGGTGACAGTTCCTCCCAGAAGCGGTACCTGCCAGGGGGGCAACTTTACGTCCTGGATTGCATGGATTCGAAAGCGTACTTCGAACATGACGTACCTCCCCGAAGGAAGATCCGGGGAGTATCTGAGGCACCCTGTCCCATTGGTGAGAACCCGCCTTCCCGAAGGCTTGCAGGAGCACTGTCATTATCTGGATCAGTGCGACCTTCAAGTCGCGCCGCACCAACAAAGATTGCAAGAAACTCTTGCTTCGCAAGCCCTGCCTTGACAACATAGCAGTTGCCGTGGACTCCAAAGTGCCGCTCAAAGATGATCTGGGACGGTTTCAGCCTCCATGGTCTGCTGTTGCTGCTCATAAAGAAAACAAGACATCACAAATTAAAAATTGAAGGATTTGGACCGTCTGTTGGCTTAGTTGTCCGCGCTATTCCTCCCCTAACCTTCACCTGCGCTCGCCTTCTGAACTTGCGCAACCAAAGAATGCAGCCTGACACGAACTCTGAGCACGTCCGATCTATTGCTGCACAAATCTGCTATGTCGGCCTGCGGGACACCCGACGCCGGCACCGCAGAAGGTCGTAACCTCAAGCTAACAAGTTGTTTCGCAAGGCAAGTCCTATTTCAACGAAGCGTTCCTCTCGTACTTTGCTTCGATTATTGTCGTAGCATGTCGTAGCTTCAAATTCATCAATAGGACACAGCTGACCTGAGCCTGTCTCACGACGGTCTAGACCCAGCTCAACTTTCCTACCAGCGGGCCATGAATACGACGCTTTGGGACTTCTGTGTCTCTAAAATATGAAGTGCCGACATCGAAGGCTCAAACAGCAACTTTTCTGACACCACTAGCCTCGAAGCAGTGCCCAATGCTGAGAAGTACGATTTGTTGCCGTTGTTTTGGCCTCCAAGTGGTGCCCCAGTGTTAACAGGTATTTGTTGCCGTTGCTTCTCCAGTGCTAGCAAGTGAGACCCTAGTGCGAAAAAGTACGATTTGCTGCCGTTGCAGTGCCCCAGTGCTGAGACGTGCGATTTGTTGCCGTTCCTTTGGCCTCGAAACAATATAAACAATGCTCCAATACTACCAAGTACGACTTGGTGCCGTTGCTTTGGCCTCAGTGCTAGCAAGTACGGTTTATTGCCGTTGCTTTGGCCTCGAAGTGGTGCCCCTGCGCCAAGACGTGCGATTTGATGCCTTTGCTTGGCTTTGGCCTCGCTGCAGTGCCCCAGTGCTAAGAAATACGATTTGTTGCCGTTGTTTGGGCCTTGAAGTGGTGCGAAACGTTGCCCCAGCGCCAGGAAGTACGATTTGTTGCAGTTGTTTCGGGTCGGAGTCTAAGAAGTACGATTTGTTGCCGTTGCTTCGGCCGAACATTTCTCAGGCACTAAAGGATCGCAAGTCCATGCTTTTCACTGTTCGTGTTCGTACTGAAAATCAAAGCCTAGCAGGTTCTTCCCTTTTGGTCCACATGAGATTTCTGTTCCATTCTCTACCTTGGGACACCGCAACGAAAGAGAGCTCCCTGCGAAACACATTGAGGCTCCGAAGCCTTGCATGTCTGGGTCAGATTCTAGACAAGGTGCTGAAAACAAGGACAAGGACGGCATAGGGAAGGGCCAGGCTGATTGCCTGGAACCAGGATCTGTCCTCCGCGTCTTTAATCTTCAGCAGAGCACGAAGCCCTGGCAGGCTCTCGCGCAGCTCCGGCGGCCCGTAGCGCAGGAAGTACTGTAAGGCGAAATACCCGCTGCAGAGCAGAGCCGTCGCCCTCACCAGGCCCAGGATAATGCTAAGCCAAAGAGAAGGTCTCGGAGACCTCTTCGCCTTCGCTTCCTGCTTGCTTTCTTGGCCTCTGCTGTGTCGCGGCTCCACCAGAAGGCCGAAATTCTGTGCCTTAGAATCTTCTGCAGTTCTCCTGCGTTCTGTTTCTCTTTACCTCTTGGATACAGAAAAATCACGGAGTGATGTCCGGGTCATGGTGAAGAACTTGACTTGCGGATTTATGAGCGCTCGCCATACGTGCGCAAACACAAGCCGGAGAGCCATGCGGTAGAGGCCTGCGAGCTTCCTTTCTGCGGAATCCAAAGATCGCTCCAAAAGCAGCACAGTAGCGAAGTAGCCTTGCTGCAAAGTCAGCAAAAAACACACGCCGCACGACTCGCCACTCTCACTGAGCACGCGGCCCTCGATGCAAAGCACGACTTCACAGCACCTTCGCTTGCTGTCTTCTTCTGCGAAGCCGTCTCGCAAGGCCACGATGCGGATCGGCTGCTCCTCGCCCTGGAAAGCCCTGACGAAGGTGATGAACGATGACGAAACATGAAATGCAGGGCGACTGGCTCACAGGGGCCGTTCGGGCCTGCTCAGCTCGTTCCATGTTTGCCGCATGTGCAGGATATCTTTGCAGTAGATCTCATATTGCAAGATGTCCACAGCTCCTGAAAACCGCCGAGACTTGTAAGGGCCACTATTCATATGTTGTCACTCAGATTCAACGTATCCCGACACTTCCCCTGTGCCTTGGCACTCGGAAGCACGGAGAGCCTCATCCCCACACTTCAGGCGTGCTTCCATGCCTTCTGCATCCACTGCCCTCACAACCTTCTGCACCGCGCTCCTCAGGAAGATGCTCAAGCATGCTCAAGCTCCCACGCAGGCCCTGCGAAGCTCTCCACACAACAGTCCAAGCAGCTCAAAGTTCGGGAGGTGCTGCCGCGCGGACAGAAAGCTGGGTTTCCTCGGGCAGGCGCTGAGGAGCGGAGCACTGCACGGAGCTGCAGCCAAGCTGCAAGTCGCTCACCGTCTCCTGCAGAATTGTTTGGGTATGCTTGATTGATGCTTGCGTTCTGCTTGCTGGCTAATTCTGCTACTGTACATGTTGTCTGGAAGTCGGGGAATCATGCTCCTGCCGAACTTGGTCCACGCTTGGATATTTGTCCCCATCTATACCGAAGACCAGCGAGGTGTGGGACAGGTGGCCGTCATCCTCCAACACCTGCTGATGCACGGAGATTTGGGCATCACCTCTGTGCATGACTTCGCCAGTGTCGCAGGGGCCCCGTTGTTGCTGGTAGGCACAGGACTACGGGAGTACCCACTTAACTTGTATATGCATTCTGGCAGCGTGCGTGCCTTCGAGTAGAAAGCCTCCGAGGACAGGGAAAACTCTCGTGCCGCGCGTTGCATCTGGTCGAAACGGAAACTTGCGAAGGAGAAGGAGGCAATCAGCAGAGCCAGCAACAGCGTGGACAGCGAAGAGACCTCAAAAGGTCCGGCGAGTCCCGCATGCAGCAGAGTGGGGATACTCCAGAGGTCAACTCCCACAGTGCCAGGACACGGAGAAGCCGCTCATGTTCGCCACGCCAAGGACAAGAACCGGATACCTGGGATGTTTTGCATGCACAATGCCACTTGGACGATGCATGTTCAAGGCCTTGTGATGGCTCGAAAGTGCTGGCGAACCTGTATACATGTTCGCCAAGGTGCAGGGACAGCAGAATCAGGAGCAGCAGGCCTTTGTATCCCAAACCGCAGCTATCACCGAAGCTGCTTTTTTTTTCGGTCGGATGCTTGGGCTTTTCTGATTTTGTGGGCTAGCCGTTGCGCAGGTTTTGCCTTCGAACCCTAAACCCCTAAACCCTAAATCGGATGCTGGCCTCTGGACTCGATGTCGGCAGCTGCTTGCACGAAGAAGATCAGAGCCAACTCAGACCAACACCGAGCCTCTGGCAAACAAGAAGCCGTAGGACTTCTTTGCGACTACACAAACCTTGAACCGAGCTAATTAGGCATGGGCCGGACCTCTTGGAAGGATTTGAAGACACTCCGCCGGAGGCTGCAGAAGAAGTGCTCGTCGCAATATCCATTCCTGAAAGGACCGCGCCCACTTACATAACCAGGCATTCACACAAAGATGAAGCCAAAGCACAGGTTCGCATGGAAGCGTGGGCAGCACCCGTGGCTGCATGGAAACGGCAAGTCCTGCTCCAGGGCTGGGGCTTAGGGTTTAGGATTAAGGGCTAAGGGTTAAGGGGTTAGGGAAGATGTTGCAATCTGTAGCTCCTGGTTGATCTCGGATTCTGCTCTCGTGATTTGCCCTTTCTCCGAGGCGGTGCCTGACGCACCAGTGGAAACGGGACGCCTGCAAGGCAGCCGTTGATCTTGAACCTCTGAGGCCCGGGCCTCGGAAACATAGGCGATGCAGCGGCTTTGAGCGCTTGGGCAGCAGAGCCTCGAGCTGCTGCGTCCACGTCGCTGCATCCTCCCGCACCAGACAGAGGTCTGCGTTTTCTGCAGCTAGTCGCTAATCATCCCCTGGGAGAAGACCCAGCACAGTCCTCGATGCAGAGCCACATCTGCAAGTCCTTGTCACGGCTCTGGAGCTTTCGGGCGGCATTGTGCCTCACTGCTGCACTGCCAAATGAGATGCATACGGCACTGCGGCACTGCATGAGCACAGACACATCACCATGCCAAGGCGCAATGCCTGCTTCGAAGCTTGGGGAACCTCTCGGGAGCACTCAACCCTCAACCAGCACGAAATCTCAACCGTAGGAACCGTATCCGTCCCTTCTCCCCTGTTTATCACGACGAAACGTATTGCAGCAGATAGAGGGCCTTGGGGCACCCTTGGACGTGGAGAGACAACTCCTCCAAGCGCAGCTTCAGCCTCAGCTACGAAGCATCTTCAAGAGTCTTCGACGCAGCTTGGGATCTTGCAGGCAAGGAGCAAGGCTTCGCTGAGATTGAGCTCTTCAAGCATCGGCAAGGCTGCAAACCAAAGCTCCAAGTGGAACAAGGAAGCTTGGGCTGTGTCGAGGAGGGCTGCTATGCCGCCAGCTTCTCGCAGTGACGCCCCGGAGAAGCGAAGCTGCAGTGTGCGCAGCTGGCAGCAAAAGCCGTCCACTGCGATGGTCTGCAGGCCTGTGTGGCCAAGGTCCAGGCGGAGGCACAAGAGAGTTCTTGGCAAATGAGCCAACAGCGCGCGCATCTGTGCATCTCTGAAGTATTTGCAGCCAGTCAACGAGAGCTGCACGGAAAGGCGGGCAACGTCCGCACGGAGTGCAGCCAGGAAATTGGTCGGGTCTGCGTCTTGAGCGTAGCATGAATAAAGGCTGCTCAAGGCAAAGTGGCTCCTCAATGCCCGATTCACGGCTCCGTACTTGTCGTGCTCCTCCTGTGGTGCCTCATCCAGGGCCTGCGTTCCTGCCCGTGGGAAGGCAATGCTGTTCAAGATTCGTGTCTTGTCTTCCTCCCTGAAAGCCTCGGCAATCTCAATGCGGACTCCGAGTCCGTGCTCCAGCAGATTGGCGGGGAAAAGCTTCTCACGCCGGGATTTGGCAAGTAGCCCCAGCAGGGGCAGCAACTTGGCCTCCTTACCCGCAAGGCCATCCTGCAGAATGAGAAGAACAACTGCACGTAAACATGTGCCACCTGTTGAAAAGCAACACCTAGACCCTAGGGCTCTCCAACAATCTACAGATTTACCCACGCTTACCCACGGTCCGTAAGGATGTGGGCCACATCGCCGCTTGTCGCTGCCACGTCCAGAAAAAGTTTGGCGGAGTTTTCAACCTGGGAAACAGGGGAGGCGCAGAAAGCGCTCTCACAACTGTATACAAACTTCCTGTGAAGATGATTGACTTCAGACTCATCTAGATGACCTGAGCTTTGAGAGGCAGAGCAATCACAACAGCCGAGCCGCAGCAATTGCTTCCTCGAAACAGCCTGAGCTGGAGCAACCAGCTTATGGCGGAGCAGACGGAACATCGGAAGCACCGTAAGCACCACACAGACACGCCGGGTGGCACCAGATTCTCTGAAAGGGTGTGGCCGCAGCATCCAGCACCAGCAGCACTCCACGGCAGAGCATCATCGCAGAGTAAAATGATGATTTCCGCGGATCTGTCGGACGCATGTGTTGGTTGGGGTCATGCCGATCAGATTCGACTGCGGTCGGTTGGATGGTGTTCGTCTGAAGGGTCTCTCGTACGGTACCCGTGCAGCGGAGACTGCTACGAACCCGGTGATCAATTCATTACAGGATTTGCCGAATGTGGTTCTCTGAATCAGGGTCCATTTTAGGTCCAATATAGTCCGGCACCCTTATAGTAAAATCCCTACCTTAACCGACCAAACCCTACCTTTTTGTAGGTTCTCATATTAAAACCCCTGATATGGGATTGATAGGGACCCTACCAAAAAAGTAGGTTTTGCTAGGTTAAGGTATCAAAGGGACCTTACTTTAAAAAAACAAACCCTAAACCCTAAACCTACCAAAAAAAGTAGGTTTTGGTAGGTTATAAGGTATCAAAGGGACCTTACTTTAAAAAAACCTTAGCCATGAGACGGCCAGGAGTCACCCGGCCTCTTGGGATGGCATCGCCCAGTGCCTTGGTAGAGGGTTTTGCGTGGAACTCTTTGGCAATACCTTAAGCCGGAAGAACCTACCTTTTTTAAGGACGTATATAAGAAATCATAACAAGGAACCCTAAAAAGGGTAGGTTATTCCGGCTTAAGGTATAGGGGCCTTCATACTTAGAATAGGCTAGTTAATAACTTGGGTGTAATGTATTCGATATAGTTGTAAGAAGGAATCCCCATACCCTGTTCTAATTATTTATGAAGGCCCATAGTTCCATAAAATTATAAGAAGAATCCCCTAGCTCAAGGCCGCCTGGGTGCGTGCTGGTTATTCGCATAGGCACAGACCCAGTATGCAGGACCTCCCCGCAAGTCTCGCACGGCAGCGTGGCGGAGCAAGCACCGCAAGAACAGCACCTGATTTCAGCCACGGGAGAGTTGAGAGTGTGCAGAAATCATTCTGAAAGGGTTCAAGCTTCTCTAGAGAACACAACAAACAACAAGATGTACCAAGGCACGATTGGCTCTTTCCAGGCATGTGATACAAACCATGTGGGACGTTGTGCTTCTATGCTCTCTGCCACGAGCCTAAGATGCGGGGCAATGCACGCACAAGCCTGCATTCGCCTTGAGAGTTGGCTGAACCCTCTGCTGCATGCGGTTACTTTCAAGCGGTTACTTTCAAGAAAATGGTCAACGCGACTGCCGCGGGACTCCACATAGCTGCAGCCGTGCCCACCTGCTCCTGTAGCCACGAAAGCCGCTTTCTGTCTTTGGCTTTTGCTGCGTGCATTTGCCACCTCTGCAGCTCTGCAGCCCTTCCGTCATGTTCTGTTTCGTTCTCCTGCAGTCGCCGGCTGCAAGATCCAGTAGTCTGCATGATACCTAGGTTCCGGGCATCAACGCATACGCATCGATGAAGCGATGATGCTACGAAAGAGTCTGCTCACATGTACCCAAGGCGCAGATTGAAGCACTCAAAGGACAGAGGTAGCCCGCACTCTGCACCAAACGTGCCAGACCAACACTGGACCATACCTTGCATAACTGCTGAGCGTACGCTGCGCATGTGGAACATGTGCTATAACGGAGGAATTGCACAGGGATGCCAACGGCAGATGTGTGCAAAGCAAGTAGGGTTGGGCAGGCCAGCAGTGACAGTGACGGACAACAAACATAACAGCCATAAGGACCAGACCTTGCATGAAGGCGAGTAGGGCCTCGTCGACAGGTGCCACTCAACAGAACGCTTTGCCACGGTGGACTGAAACTGGCCAAGAAAATCTCAACGGCCTGAATTTGCGGAATGGTAATGCCGCTGAGCTCTGTCGGGATTTGGAGCGGGCTGCCGGCTGAATGTAAGCGGCCATAGTTCGCCAGCGCCAACCTGAGATGCCCCAAAGTGGTGGAATTAGGGTTTAGGGTTTAGGGTTTAGGTTGTAGGAGTTTAGCATCGAAGGCTTAGGGGATATCTTCTCAAGTGCTCCCCGCAAGGAGCTCGTTGCCGGACTGCGTCTGAGGCGGCATCTCGTCTGTCTCCGTGAACTTCCGGGCGCCGCGTGACAGCAAGACGTTTCCATGCCAAGGGTCTCCAGGCAATTTCCTCAGATCTAAGCTTAACGGGGTTTAGGGATTAGGGTTTAGGGATGTTTAGGGTTTAGATATGCATAGCAGAACTCCTGTAAAGCTGAGGTGACCGGTTGCACCCAAATTCTTTGCCCAGGCACGCCTTCACCGCTGCGATAACATCACCTGCAAAGAGGCAGCGTTCAGTGAGACACTTGACAGGTCGACGTGTTTCACGCAGGTCGACGAGTTTCACGCATCACATCAAATCCATGCACGCTTTCTGCTTCACCTTAACTGTTGCTCCGGGGCACTTGCAGTAGCAGTCCCCTCCACGGCCACGTCCACGGTGGTGGAAAATGAAAGTCGCACGGCAGCAGCAAAACCGGCGGCCCGGCTCTCTGTGCCAGGCACGGCCCCGCCACGAATTTCGGACGCTGTCGTCTGCAGCATGCCTGTACAAAACATAAATTGGGGGGACTCCGGGCTCTGCGGGCGGCTAATCTGGACCAAAACTTCGCGGCACACGATGAATCGGACCAGTTCCCAGCGGGAGTAAGCACGTGCCAAGCGTGCAGCCACCAGTATCCCCAATGCCGCAGCCGACATCCAACTGAGAAGCTGACGACGAAGAATGATGGCACCGCCTGTTCTCCAACGCATTCTTTGAAACAACCGAAAGGAGACATCGTTCTGTGTGCGTTTCTTTGTGAGTTGCTTATCGCTTCATTTCTGTCTCTGCTGTTTTCGCTAGCTGTTCTTCCTTCTCTCTTATCTTCTTCATTGCTGGTAGCCTAAACCCTAAGCCCTACATACCCTATATAAACCCTTTTGCTGATCCATTCTTGGTGGTTTGTTCAACCCGTCTCGTCGAGCTATCGAACTGCCCACAGCCTCCGGCACTCTGCGCGAGGCTCTGGCAGAAGAGGAGAGGGCTCAGGGTCAAGGGTTTTTGTGTTTTTTTTAATGGGCTCTTTTCCACCTGCAGGTACAGCCAGAACTCCTGTACTAGGAGGAGCCTGTGGTTGGGGCCTCTGTGTTTGGAAGGACTGAAAAGCCTCCCTCTAGGTTCAAGGGTTTAGTCTAGTGTCTAGGGTTTAGAGGCTATATCTATACAGGATTCAGGGTTTATGGAAATTGTATCGGGCTTTGCCTCTTCGTCTTGAGGATTTATGGTTTAGGGTGTAAAGGTTCTGGCACAAGAGGAGCGGCTCTCATTTACAAGCCTAAGAATCTTAAAATTGAGCCTGTTGGGAGGCCCAGCACGTACTTCCCTGCCGAAGGTCATTCTTTGAGATTTTCTTTAGTCCCTAAGCCTAAACCCTAAACCCTCAGCTTGGATCCCAACTTCTGCTTCCCGCAATCTTTCCGACTCGGGCTGAGAGGCAAGCGGAGCATCCCCGATATCAAGGAGCACCCAACCGCGGGGCCTTCTGCGCAAGAAGTTCGCGCGCATCGGCTACGACTTGGAAGACCTCCTGGCAGAGGCAAACTAGAATCCCTTCGTTCACCTTTGCGGGCCTGGGCCGACGCATCTTCTTAAATCCATTGAGGCGCACCCCAGCAAAGTATAGATCCTGCTGAAAGCAGAACCGGGACCCCCAAAAAAGCAGCGATAGCAGCTTAAGGCAAAACCCGCTTGATCCTTTCCCCCTCTTTATTGAATCATTGAACACAGCTGCCTAACAATAAAAACGCGGATTCGGCGTATTCGGAACATCCCACTGAAATCATCCCCTCCTTCTAGACCCAAGTTTTCTGAAGATGCATACACCAATAAGGCCGGCCTGGCAGTAGGGTTTATGGGCTTAAGGGTTCAGGGTTTAGGGGGCTATGTCGGATACGCTGCTCTTGAATCTAAACCGTGGAGAAACAAAGCTCTGTGCCTTGAGCCTGACAATCCGTGCAGACCAGCCTAAAACGGGAACTGCAACCTCTGGCGCCTACAGATACAAGCTCTGTGGCTTCTTCGCAATCCCTCATACGCTTGAAACGTACACTTGGAGTGAGAACCTGCTGGCTCCTCCAGGACCAAAGACACTGAAACCCCAAACTCCTATAGACGCTATAAGAAACCCGAAACCCTAAACCCTAATCCCTCTAAACCCGAATAAGATAATATATAAAGTCATCTTCAGCTCAAAGGTGCCTGAGCCAGCGCCACGGCGGCGCTTTCGACGCAGCGAGACGTTGCACAGAAGCTTTCTGGGAGGCCTAACTATGACGGCTTCGCTCGATCAATCAGAGATCAAAATGAGCAAAGAAAATTACTGCATATGGGGAAAGTCTCGAGATGATATGGTGACCTACATGGCGCGAGCAAGGCAGCCGCTTCCTCCAGTGACACGGGGAACAGGCCTGATCCAACCTATCTTTCAAGCTTCCATCCTAGTGGCGCCAATGAAACTCTTTTGTGATGGGGCCGCAGTCACAAAACACAATCGCACCACAAACCACAGCGACTGTTAACCGGATAGTGTGACAGCTGCCACTGCTGCTGTGATCCGCTGCGAGACGCCTAAATCGTAGCCTAAACCCCTAGACCCAAGACCCCGGACCGCCGAAACCCACACCTGAGCCCCTGAAGCCTCCAGAACGTGCACCCATCTCTGCCTCCTGAGGTTTATGGGGTTTAGGATTCAGGGCTTAGTATTGATAGGGTTTGGGGTGTAAAATATTGATAGGGTTTTGTGTTTAGGGTTCCGGTTTATCCTGTGCCAGATTGCTTTGACAACGCCTTCAAAGATGGCACTATGGCACTCAAACTTCCCGCCTCGCATAAGCACCTCTTGAGATGGGACAATGCTCTCTCCAAGGCGACAAGGGGCCCTAAACCCTGAACCCTAAAGGCCCTAAAGCCTAAACCTCTCTGGGTCTCCGGCTCAGTGCCGAGTGGTCTTGCCTTCAGCGCATCGACCTCCCAGGAGGGACAAGGCAACAAGGACGGCTTAGGCTTTAGGGCTTGGGGTTTATAGCGCTTATAGAGTTTAGGTGTGGGGTTTTGGGTCGGGGCCTAAATGATTACCTGTACCATTTTGGGGTGTTCCTTATAATGGGCCTCAAAACCCTGATTAAAGCCGATCCCGTCAACTTGACGAACGATGAGATGCTCCGGGGGTCCAAATGAGCAGTGTACGGGGCGTGAAATAGATGCAGAACACTGGCTGGCGCGGGCCTCAGGAGCCCATTGTTTCGCTCCAGTGTTCCGGGTTCGGAGGGCTCCTACGTAACTCCTTCCCTCCGCTCTTTGTGGGGAGTCCAAACATGATCAACTTACACTGGGGGGAACCCATATCTTGAGAGCCTGCGTATAGAAGAAAACCCAGACCAGGCAGCATCCTCGGCCCCACGCCTTGCGCCCGCATTCTCGCTTTCCCTATCCTGTTTGCAGCATATGCTTCCTTGGTGCCAGCAGCCTCTACAGCACGTCCAAAGGATCGACTTGACAGCCCATGCACGAGTCCTAAGACCTTCTGCTTTCCTATTCCTCTGTTTCGTACGACATCATTCTGCTTGCTGTAGAATCCCAAGCACAACGCGCAACGGATCTTCGAAGAGTTCACGGTACTCTATAGGTGCTACATCAGACTTAGGACTGAAGGATAGCGAACTGAAAGCTCCTATCATCATGGTTTAGGCTTTAGGGTCTAGGGTTTGAGGTTTAGGGTTTATTAGGGTCTAGGGTATTAGGGTTCAGAGTTTTAGGGTTAGAGTTTTTGGGTTTGCAGCTTAGCGGCTTAGGCTTAAAATCATCGGCATCCTTGGCCACCGGCATCTTTGGGCTTCCATCTCAGCTCTAAAGATCGCAGTGCCGGCGGTTGCCGCTAGGCTCGCGTACAACAGTACCATAGGGTTTAGGGTTAGGGTTTAGGCGTTTCGGGCTTAGGGCTTGGAGCTTATTAGGGGCTTAGATAGTCAACATGAGCACGACATCTGATGCAAACGAGGAAGTGCGAAGCTGAAACACTTCAATTCAAGGTCGCGACCATTCCCTTCAAATTACTCACAGGTGACTGTCTCCCGTGAGACGCAGTCAAGAAACCCTAAAGCGGAGGATCCTCAAAATGAAACCCTAAACCCTAAACCCATGAACCCGAAAACCCTAAACCCAATGCTACTGTTGTACCCGATATACCAGGGGCCTAGCGGCGGAGGATCCTGGCTCTCGTTTTGGAGAGATCACCTCGGGAAGGCCGAGGAGCAGAGAGCTTAGCAGGCCTAGAGTTGCACGTGAGCTCTGTGGCTATAGAGTCTAAACGCCTTGGAGGGGACTACCGTAGGGGATATAAGGAGGATAATCGGAGCTTAGACTACAGCGCACATGATTCAACTTCGAAGGTTTTAGTCTCTGGCAGTTGTGTCGTGTTGCCTCAGGCATTTGAAAAGCTTCACCAGAGGGCTTAAGCCCTGCAGCAGATGAAAACGCGTGCAATTCCCTGTCTCGGCAGGCTGAAGTACAGCAATTAAATGCAAATAAATTAAAAAAAACTTGTGGCCTCAAGAAGCCTCGCAGCTGCAATTCTCGCAGCTCAAGGCGGCCTCAACACAGCGCCTCACTGGCTGTGCCAGCCTGTTGCCGCCCAAATGCAGCATCTTAAGGGAGGTCAAGCCCTGGAAGACCCTTTGCGGGAGCTCTGCCAGCTGATTGCTGTACAACTCCAACACCTGAAGCGAGGTCAAGCCCTGGAAGACCTTCTCCGGGAGCTCTGCCAGGTTGTTGCTGTTCAACTCCAGTGTCTCAAGGGAGGTCAAGCCATGGAAGACCTTCTCCGGGAGCTCTGCCAGCTTGTTGTCGTGCAACTTCAGCGTCGCAAGTGAGGTCAAGCCCTGGAAGACCGCTGCTGGGAGCTCTGCCAGCTTGTTGTAGAACAACTCCAGCGTCTCAAGGGAGGTCAAGCCCTGGAAGACCGTTTCCGGGAGCTCTGCCAGCTTGATGTTGACGCTCAAATCCAGCGTCTCAAGGGAGGTCAAGCCCTGGAAGACCGTTTCCGGGAGCTCTGCCAGCTTGTAGTTGCTGCCCAAATCCAGCCTCTTAAGAGAGGTCAAGCCCTGGAAGACCGTTTCTGGGAGCTCTGCCAGCTGGTTGCCTCTCAAACCCAGCATCTCAAGGGAGGTCAAGCCCTGGAAGACCGCTGCTGGGAGCTCTGCCAGCTTGCTGTAGAACAACTCCAGCGTCTCAAGGGAGGTCAAGGCCTGGAAGACCGTTTCCGGTAGCTCTTGCAGCTGGTTCCAGTGCAAATCCAGCGTCTCAAGGGAGGTCAAGCCCTGGAAGACCGTTTCCGGGAGCTCTGCCAGCTTGTTGTCGCTCAAATCCAGCCTCTCAAGGGAGGTCAAGCCCTGGAAGACCGTTTCTGGGAGCTCTGCCAGCTGGTTCTCGTGCAAATCCAGCGTCTCAAGGGAGGTCAAGCCCTGGAAGACCGTTTGCGGGAGCTCTGCCAGCTGGTTGCCTCTCAAATCCAGCATCTCAAGGGAGGTCAAGCCTTGGAAGACCGTTTCCGGGAGCTCTGCCAGCTTGTTGTCGCTCAAATCCAGGCTCTCAAGGGAGGTCAAGCCCTGGAAGACCCTTTCCAGCATCTGCAGGGATGTCAAGCCCTGGAAGACCGTTTGCGGGAGCTCTGCCAGCTGGTTGCCTCTCAAATCCAGCATCTCAAGGGAGGTCAAGCCCTGGAAGACCGTTTCTGGGAGCTCTGCCAGCTGGTTCTCGTGCAAATCCAGCGTCTCAAGGGAGGTCAAGCCCTGGAAGACCGTTTGCGGGAGCTCTGCCAGCCTGTTCCAGCCCAAATACAGCGTCTCAAGGGAGGTCAAGTTTTGGAAGACTGTTTCCGGGAGCTCTGCCAGCTTGTTGCTGTGCAAATCCAGCTTCTGAAGGGAGGTCAGGTTTTGGAAGACCGTTTCCGGAAGCTGTTCCAGCTTGTTGCTGCCCAAATCCAGCTTCTGAAGCGAGGTCAAGCCTGCGAAGGTGTGGTCGGAGACGTTGAGGAGGTTGTTGCGGCCGAGGTCCAGGACTCGGAGTCTGTGGAGATGCGAGAAGGTGGCGTCCTCCAAGTTCTTCAGATTGTTCTCGCTGACGTCCAACACTCTCAGCCGAGGGTTCTGCGTGAAGTTCGGCAAACTCACAAGCTGGTTCCCGCTCACGATTACATTGCCTTGTTTGTCGCTTTTGCCACCTAGCAGCAGCTGCTCCAGGCCGAGCAGCGGTTTCAGAACCTGGGTGGGGAGGTCGGCAAGCTTGTTTTCGCTGAGTGACAGAAGGCGCAGCTGCGCCAGGCCCTCGAAGGCCTCGTCCTCCAGGCGCTCGAGGCGTCCTCTGCCCAGGTCCAGGGCTTCCAGGCAACTCAGGTGCCGGAACCGTTTGGCCGGCAGGGAGGTCAACTTGTGGTTGGAGAGGGATAGGCGGCGCACGTAGCAGCCCAAGGGGTCGAACGCTCCTTGGGCGATGCTGTGGACGCCGGACAGGGCCAGCTCCGCCTGTCGGAGTACGGCTGCTAATCGGCAGCTTTCCAGGCGCCACCCGATAGAGGAGCAGCACACAGAGCAGCGGCACGGGAAGCAGCTGAAGTCGTGACCAGGGTACATGTCCGGAGAGCGAAGAAGCAGGAAAAGCACCAGGAGCAGGATGGGAGAGTACAGTGCCTTGAGGCATCGCAGCACCAGCCGGCCATCACACGCAGGAAAGACCGTGCGGTGAATGATCGGTCGCTTCGATTGCTTTGGCTCCACAGAGCTTTCGCCCAGACCGCCCAGACTGCCCAGATCCCTGGCACGTTCGACAGAGCGGCAGGCACAACAGGTGTGCGCAAGGCTGATGTACACCGCCAGGAACTGCAGGATGTCAGAGGGGAAAGCGAAGGTTGGGCTTATGCCTTAGCGCACATGATACGAGCTACCCGACAGTGCTGGCGGCACTTCCATTCGTGCTCAAGTCTGCTCAAGCTGCTGTTGCTCAGGTCCAGCTCCGCCGCATCCCCGAAGTTGCCACGCACGGCCGTCTCCAGCGTCAGCTCGGACATAGCCGTCACCTGAGCCGTGCTTAACTGACGGCCTTGTCTAGATCTTGCTTGTCGCGTCAGCAAGGGGCCACAGTGAGCAAGTAGGTGAGCATGTATCCCAGATCCATGACTACATCCATGACGGCAGCACCTCGGATTTGTGCCCCGCACGAGGACGCACTGTCTACTTCCCCTCACCGTCACTCGGTCTCGCTCACTCCGAGGAGCCATAGCGACACCAGCGGGAATCTGGCCGCACAAACAGGATACTCGGGAACAGGCTGTTGAAGGTCAGCAGCACATAGAAGATCCAGAAGCATCGTTTCAGCACCGAGGCTGCTGAGATGTTCTGATACATTGCAAACGTGACGGTTCCTCTCAGAAGCGGTACCTGGCACGGGGGGCAACTTTACGTCCGGGATTGTGCTTACTGCGAAAATGGCGTATCTCCTCGAAGATTCGGGGAGTACCTGAGGCACCCTGTCCTATTGGTGAGAACATGGTGAGAACCCGCCTTCCCGAAGGCTTGCAGGAGCACTGTCATTATCTGGATCAGTGCGACCTTCAAGTCGCGCCGCACCAACAAAGATTGCAAGAAACTCTTGCTTCGCAAGCCCTGCCTTGACAACATAGCAGTTGCCGTGGACTCCAAAGTGCCGCTCAAAGATGATCTGGGACGGTTTCAGCCTCCAGGGTCTGCTGTTGCTGCTCATAAAGAAAACAAGACATCAAAAATTGAAAATTGAAGGATGTGGACCGTCTGTTGGAGTAGTTGTCCGCGCTCTTCCTCCCGTAACGTTCACCTGCGATTGCCTTCTGAACTGTGCGCAACCAAAGAAATACCAAAGAATGCAGCCTAACACGAACTCTGAGCACGTCCGATATATCGCTGCCCAAACCCGCTATGTCGGCCTGCGGGACACCCGACGCCGGCACCGCAGAAGGTCGTGACCTCAAACTAACCAGTTGTTCCTCTCGTACTTTGCTTCGATTATTGTCGTAGCATGTCGTAGCTTCAAATTCATCAATAAGACACAGCTGACCTATCGCACGACGGTCTAAACCCAGCTCAACTTCCCTATCGGCGGATCATTCATCCGACACTTTGGGACTTCTGTGTCTCAACAATCTGAAGTGCCGACATCCAAGGACCAGACAGAAACGTTTATGACACCGATCGCCTCGAAGCGGTGCCCCAATGCTAAGAAGTACGATTTCTTGTCGCTGCATCGGCCTCGAAGTAGTGCCCCAATGCTGAAAAGTACGATTGGTTGCTGTTGCTTTGGCCGCGAAATGGTGACCCAGTGCCAAGAAGTACATTTGTTGCCGTTGCTTTGGCCTCGAAGCCGTGCTCTAGTGCTAAGAAGTACGATTTCTTGCCGCTGCTTCGGCCTCGAAGTAGTGCCCCAATGCTGAAAAGTACGATTGGTTGCTGTTGCTTTGGCCGCGAAGTGGTGACCCAGTGCCAAGAAGTACATTTGTTGCCGTTGCTTTGGCCTCGAAGCCGTGCTCTAGTGCTAAGAAGTACGATTTCTTGTCGCTGCTTCGGCCTCGAAGTAGTGCCCCAATGCTGAGAAGTACGATTTCTTGCTGTTGCTTTGGCCGCGAAATGGTGACCCAGTGTCAAGAAGTACATTTGTTGCCGTTGCTTTGGCCTCGAAGCCGTGCTCTAGTGCTAAGAAGTACGATTTCTTGTCGCTGCATCGGTCTCGAAGTAGTGCCCCAATGCTGAGAAGTACGATTGGTTGCTGTTGCTTTGGCCGCGAAATGGTGACCCAGTGCCAAGAAGTACATTTGTTGCCGTTGCTTTGGCCTCGAAGCCGTGCTCTAGTGCTAAGAAGTACGATTTCTTGTCGCTGCTTCGGCCTCGAAGTAGTGCCCCAATGCTGAGAAGTACGATTTGTTGCTGTTGCTTTGGCCGCGAAATGGTGACCCAGTGCCAAGAAGTACATTTGTTGCCGTTGCTTTGGCCTCGAAGCCGTGCTCTAGTGCTAAGAAGTACGATTTCTTGTCGCTGCATCGGCCTCGAAGTAGTGCCCCAATGCTGAAAAGTACGATTGGTTGCTGTTGCTTTGGCCGCGAAATGGTGACCCAGTGCCAAAAAGTACATTTGTTGCCGTTGCTTTGGCCTCGAAGCCGTGCTCTAGTGCTAAGAAGTACGATTTCTTGTCGCTGCATCGGTCTCGAAGTAGCGCCCCAATGCTGAGAAGTACGATTGGTTGCTGTTGCTTTGGCCTCGAAGTGTTGCCCCAGTGCCAAGAAGTACATTTGCTGCCGTTGCTTTGGCCTCGAAGCCGTGCTCTAGTGACTCTAGTGCTAAGAAGTACGATTTCTTGTCGCTGCATCGGCCTCGAAGTAGTGCCCCAATGCTGAGAAGTACGATTTCTTGCTGTTGCTTTGGCCGCGAAATGGTGACCCAGTGCCAAGAAGTACATTTGTTGCCGTTGCTTTGGCCTCGAAGCCGTGCTCTAGTGCTAAGAAGTACGATTTCTTGTCGCTGTCTTGGCCTGGAAGCGGTGCCTCAGGCCTCAGTGCTATGAAGTTAGTTTTGCTGCCGTTGCTTTGGCCGCGAATCGGTGTCCCAGCACTACGAACTACGATTTGTTGACATGGATTCGGCTTCGAAGTCCAAGAAGTACGATTTGTTGCCGCTGCTTTGGCTGAACATTTCTCATGGCCTAAAGGATCGAATGTCCATGTTTTTCACTGTTCGTGAATGTACTGACAATCAAAACCTGGCAAGCTCTTCCCTTTTGGTCCACATGAGATTTCTGTTCTCAATTGAGCTCTACCTGGCAACGGTTGCGATACCATCGAGCAACAACAGACCTCTGCAGCGAGCTCCCCCTAAACACATTGAAGCTCCGGAGCCCTTGCATGTCTGGGTCAGATTCTAGACAAGGTGCTGAAAACAAGGACAAGGACGGCATAGGGAAGAGCCAAGCTGATTGCCTGGAACCAGGATCTGTCCTCTGCGTCTTGAATCTTCAGCAGAGCACCGAGCCCTGGCAGGCTCTCGCGCAGCTCCGGCGGCCCGTAGCGCAGGGAGTACTGCAAGGCGAAATATCCGCTGCACAGCAGCGCCGTCGCCCTCACCAGGCCCAGGATAATGCTAAGCCAAAGAGAAGGTCTCGGAGACCTCTTCGCCTTCGCTTCCTGCTTGCTTTCTTGGCCTCTGCTGTGTCGCGGCTCCACCAGAAGGCCGAAATTCTGTGCCTTAGAATCTTCTGCAGTTCTCCTGCGTTCTGTTTCTCTTTACCTCTTGGATACAGAAAAATCACGGAGTGATGTCCGGGTCATGGTGAAGAACTTGACTTGCGGATTTATGAGCGCTCGCCATACGTGCGCAAACACAAGCCGGGGAGCCATGCGGCAAAGGCCTGCAAGCTTCCTTTCTGCGGAATCCAAAGACCGCTCCAAAAGCAGCACGGTAGCGAAGTATCCTCTTGCTGCAAAGTGAGCAAAAAGCACGCAGCGCACCGCGGACAACCCTCACTGAGCACACGGCCCTCGATGCAAAGCACGACTTCACAGCACCTTCGCTTGCTGTCTTCTTCTGCGAAGCCGTCTCGCAAGGCCACGATGCGGATCGGCTGCTCCTCGCCCTGGAAAGCCCTGACGAAGGTGATGAACGATGACGAAACATGAAATGCAGGGCGACTGGCTCACAGGGGCCGTTCGGGCCTGCTCAGCTCGTTCCATGTTTGCCGCATGTGCAGGATGTCTTTGCAGTAGATCTCATATTGCAAGATGTCCACAGCTCCTGAAAACCGCCGAGACTTGTAAAGGCCTGAATTCATATGTTGTCACTCAGATTCAACGTATCCCGACACTTCCCCTGTGCCTTGGCACTCAGAGGCAAGGAGAGCCTCATCTCCGCATTTCAGGCGTGCTTCCATGCCTTCTGCATCCACTGCCCTCACAACCTCCTGCACCGCTCTCCTCGGGAAGATGCTCCAGCAAGCTCAAGCTCCCACAGCCCTTCGAAGCTCTCCCGACACCCTAAACCCGGAACCCCAAACCCTAAATTCTAAACCCTAATCCAAGCAGCTCAAAGCTCGGAAGGTGCTGCCGCGCGGACAGAAAGCTGCTTTTCCTCGGGCAGCCGCTGAAGAGCGCAGCACTGCAAGCAGCTGCAGCCAAGCTGCAAGTCGCTCACCGTCTCCTGCAGGTTTATGACCAGAACTGACCAGGAACTGCATCTTTCTTAGAGTATGATGGATGCTTGCATTCTGCTTGCTGGCTAATTCTGCTACTGTACATTTCGTCTGAAAGTCGGGGAATCATGCTCCTGCCGCACTTGGTCCACGCTCGGATATTTCTCCCCATCTACACCGAAGACCAGCGAGGTGTGGGACAGGTGCCCGTCATCCTCCAACACCTGCTCACATGCGCGCGCGGAGATCCTCTGTGCACGACTTTGTCAGTGTCGCAGGTATAGGCCCCATGGTTGCGCGTTGGTGTGCACAGGACCACGGGAGTACCTACATGCACTGCAGCAGCGTGCGTGCCTTCGAGTAGAAAGCCTCCGAGGACAAAGAGAACTCCCGTGCCGCCCGTTGCATCTGGTCGAAACGGAAACTTGCGAAGGCGAAGGAGGCAACCAGCAGAGCCAGCAACAGCGTGGACAGCGAGGAGACCTCAAATGGTCCCGCGAGTCTCAAATGTAGCAGAGTGGGGATACACCGGAAGCTAACTCTCACAGTGCCAAGACACAGAGAAGCCGCTCACGTTCGCCACACCAAAGACCAGAACCGGATACCTGGGATGTTTTGCGTGCCTGTTGGACAATTCAAGGCCTAGCCATGGTTTGCAAATGCTGGCGAATCTGTATACATGGTCGTCAAGGTGCAGAGACAGCATGATCAGCAGCAGCAGGCCTTTGTATCCCAAACTGCCACTATCACCGAAGCTGCTTCTTTTGTTTCGGTCAGATGCTTCAGCTTTTCTAACCTTGCAGGCTCCCTGAATGTCCACCCCAAACCAGATCGGATGCTGGCCTCTGGACTCGATGTCGGCAGCTGCTTGCACGAAGAAGATCAGAGCCAACTCAGACCAACACCGAGCCTCTAGCAAACAAGAAGCCGTGGGATTTCTTTGCACCTACATAAACCTTGAACCGAGCTGATCAGCCATGGGCCGGACCTCTTGGAAGGATTTGAATGCACTCCGCCGGAGGCTGCAGAAGAAGTGCTGGTCGCAATATCCATTCCTGAAAGGACCGTGCCACTTATATAACCAGGCATTCGCACAAGGATGAAGCCAAAGGGCAGGTTCGCATGGAAGCGTGGGCAGCGCCCGTGGCTGCATGGAAACGGCAAGTCCTGCTCCAAGGGCAGGCTTGGGGTTTAGGGTTTCTGCCAGGGAAGATGTTGCAATTTGTTGTTGCTCCTGGTTGATCTCGGATTCTGTTCTCGTGCTTTGCCCTTTCTCCGAGCCGCTGCCTGCAGGCAGTGGAAAGGGAATGCCGGCAAGGAAGCCGTTGATCTTGAACCTCTGAGGCCCGGGCTTTGGAAGCCTTGCAACTTCCGGATGCGATCCCATGGCAGCAGAGCCTGGAGCTGCTGCGTCCACGTCGCTGCATCCTCCCGACCAGAGGTCTGCGTCTGCTGCAGCTAGTCGCTAATCACCCCTGGTAGAACACCGAGCGCAGTCCTCGATGCAGAGCCACATCTGCAAGTCCTTGTCACGGCTCTGAAGCTTTCGGGCGGCATTGTGCCTCGCTGCCAACGACTTCGCACTGCTAAATGAGATGCATACATGGAGGGCACTGCATGGGCACAGACACATCGCCATGCCAAGGCGCAATGCCTGCTTCGAAGCTTGGGGAACCTCTCAGGGAGCACTCAACCCTCAACCAGCACGAAATCTCAACCGTAGGAACCGTATCCGTCCCTTCTCCCCTTTTTATCACGACGAAACGTATTGCAGCAGGTCGAGGGCCTTGGGGCACCCTTGGACGTGGAGAGACAACTCCTCCAAGCGGAGCTTCAGCCTAAGCTACGAAGCGTCTTTCAAGAGTCTTCGATGCAGTTTGAGATCTTGCAGGCAAGGAGCAAAGCTTCGCTGAGATTGAGCTCTTCAAGCATCGGCAAGGCTGCAAACCAAAGCTCCAAACGGAGCAAGGAAGCTTGGGCCGTGTCGAGGAGGGCTGCTATGCCGACAGCTTCTCGCAGCGATGCCCCTGAGAAGCGAAGCTGCAGTGTGCGCAGCTGGCAGCAAAAGCCGTCCACTGCGATGGTCTGCAGGCCTGTGTGGCCAAGGTCCAGGCGGAGGCACAGAAGAGTTCTTGGCAAATGAGCCAAGAGCGCGCGCATCTGTGCATCTCTGAAGTGTTTGCAGCCAGTCAATGAGAGCTGCACGGAAAGGCGGGCAGCATCCACACGGAGTGCAGCCAGAAAATTGCTTGGGTCGGTGTCTCGAGTGTAGCATGCATAGAGGCTGCTCAAAGCAAAGTGGCTCCTCAATGCCCGATTCACGGCTCCATACTTGTCGTGCTCCTCCTTTGGTGCCTCATCCAGGGCCTGCGTTCCTGCTCGTGGGAAGGCAATGCTGTTCAAGATTCGTGTCTTGTCCTCCTCCCTGGAGGCCTCGGCAATCTCAATGCGGACTCCGAGTCCGTGCTCCAGTAAATTGGCGGGGAAAGGTTCCTCACGCCGGGATTTGGCAAGTAGCCCCAGCAGGGGCAGCAACTTGGCCTCATTTCCCGCAAGGCCATCCTGCAGGATGACAAGAACAACTGCGCATAAAAATGCGCTATTTGCTGGGAATCAACACCTAGGACCTAGGCAAGCGGGGCTGTACAATCTACAGATTTACCCGCACTGGTCCGTAAGGATGTGGGCCATATCGCCGCTTGTCGCCGCCACGTCCAGAAAGAGCTTGGCGGAGTTTTCAACCTGCCGGGGAGGCGGTCGGGGCTTTGAAACTTTTGAAGCTTTGAGAGGCCTCCGACAGGGCCCTTAAAGGTAGCACTACATTCAAGACTCAACTTCCTGTGAACATCTATCTATAACTTCAGACTCATCTAAACGACCTGAGCGATGCAGAGGCAGAGCAATCACAACAGCCGGGCCGCAGCAATTGCTTCCTCGAAACAGCCTCAGCTGGAGCAGCTGCTTATGGCAGAGCAGACGAAACATCGGAAGCACCGTGAAGCACCACGCAGACACGCCGGGTGGCACCAGATTCTCTGAAAGGGCGTGGCTGCAGCATCCAGCACCAGCAGCACTCCACGGCAGAGCATCATCGCCAAGTAAAATGATGATTTCCGCGGATCTGTCGGTTGGATGGTATTCTTCATATAAGTATCACGATACCCGTGCAACAAAGATGCTACGAACCATGTGATCAGTTCCTTTCAGGACCTGTCGAATGTGGTCTCTCGGGCATGACGATCACGACGAGGCGGCAAGGACTCACCCGGCCTGTGGGGATGGCATCGCCGAGTGCCTTGGGAGAGGGTTTTTCTGAGCGGTCAAGGACTGGTGTTTCAGTTCGAGGCTGCCTGGGTGCATGCTGGTTGTTCGCATAGGCACAGACCCAGTACGCAGGATCTCCGCGCAAGTCTCGCACGGCAGCGTGGCGGAGCAAGCACCGCAGGAACAGCACCTGATTTCAGCCACGGGAGAGTTGAGAGTGTGCAGAAATCATTCTGGAAGGGTTCAAGCTTCTCTAGAAAGCACAAACAAAGAAGATGAACCAAGGCACGATTGGCTCTTTCCAGGCATGTGATACAAACCACGTGGGACGTTGTGCTTCTATGCTCTCTGCCACGAGCCTAAGATGCGGGGCAATGCACGCACAAGCCTGCGTTCGCCCTGAGGGTTGACTGAACCCTCTGCTGCATGCGGTTACTTTCAAGCGGTTACTTTCAAGAAAATGGTCAACGCGACTGCCGCGGGACTCCACATAGCTGCAGCCGCGCCCACCTGCTCCTGTAGCCACGAAAACCGCTTTCTGTCTTTGGCTTTTGCTGCATGCATTTGCCGCTGAAGCCCTTCCGTCGCTCTCCTGCAGTCGCCGGCTGCAAGATCCAGTAGTCTGCATGATACCTAGGTTGCGGGCATCAACGCATACGCATCGATGAAGCGATGATGCTACGAAAGCGTCTGCTCACATGTACCCAGGGCGCAGATTGAAGGACTCAAAGGACAGAGGTAGCCCGCACTCTGCACCAAACGTGCCAAACCAACACTGGACCATACCTTGCATAACGGAACATGTGCCACAACTGAGGAATTGCAAGCGATGCCAACGGCAGATGTGTGCAAAGCAAGTAGTGTTGGGCAGGCCAGCAGTGACAGTGACGGACAACATAAAGGCCATAAGGACCAGACCTTGCATGAAGGCGAGTAGGGCCTCGTCGACAGGTGCCACTCAAAGGAACGCTTTGCCACAGTGGACTCAAACTGGCCAAGAAAATCTCAACGGCCTGAATTTGCGGAATGGTAATGCCGCTGAGCTCTGTCGGGATTTGGAGCGGGCTGCCGGCTGAATGTAAGCGGCCATAGTTCGCCAGAGCCAACCTGAGATACCACAAAGTGGTGGAATTAGGGTTTAGGGTTTAGGGTTTAGGGTTTAGGTTGTAGGAGTTTAGCATTGAAGGCCTAGGGGATATCTTCTCAAGTGCTCCCCGCAAGGAACTCGTTGCCAGCCTGCGTCTGAGGCGGCATCTCGTCTGTCTCCGTGAACTTCCGGGCGCCGCGTGACAGCAAGACGTTTCCATGCCAAGGGTCTCCGGGCAACTTCCTCAGATCTAAGCTTAACGGGGTTTAGGGATTAGGGTTTGGGGATGTTTAGGGTTTAGATATGCATAGCAGAACTCCTGGAAAGCTGAGGTGACCGGTTGCACCCAAATTCTTCGCCCAGGCACGCCTTCACCGCTGCGACAACATCACCTGCGAGAGGCAGCATTCAATGAGACACTGAACAAACCCAGAAAAGCTTCACACATCAACTCTATTCTTTTCTGCTTCACATTACCTGTTGCTCCGGGGCACTTGCAGTAGCAGTCCCCTCCACGGCCACTTCCACGGTGTTGAAACATGAAAGATGCACGGCAGCAGCAAAACCACTCGAGGCACGGCTCTCTGTGCCAGGCATGGCGGCCACGAATTTCGGACGCTGTCGTGTGCAGCATCCCTTGAAACAAATCGGTCGGGGACTCCGGGCTCTGCCGGGCGGGAAAGACAGTGAATCCTGTCTGCACACGATCAGAACCTGTAAGTAAAGACCGCTGCGAAAAGGCCTTGAGTAGCAACCGACCTGCCCCAACCTGATATGGACCGAAACTTCGCGGCATGCGATGCTGCGAGCAGCCCTCAGCTGTATCGAACACGCACCGTACGTGCAGCGGACATCTTGATATGAGGGGCCACACTCGACATCCAACTGAGAAGCTAACGACGAGCAGGCCATGATGGCACAGCCTGCCCACAGCAGAAAAACACATAGCAAAGCAGGCAGACGCTAAAGGAGAGCCTCTGTCTTTGTTGGTGTTTGTCAGTCTGTCTTTCTACATGTTTGTGGTTCTGGGGTCGGTTCTCTTCTGCTGTAATCTGCTTTAGTTCGTTCTGCTTGCTTTCTTGTGTAGTTTATGGTTGTTTTTTGTCCTTGCAGCTTTCGTTACGTGTTCTTCCTTCTGTCTTATCTCCTGCATTCCTCGCAATCAAGATTGAGTTCATCAGTCCAAATAACCCTAAACCTTAAACCCTAAACCCCCTTAACCCTAATCCCTAAACCCTACTGTTCTTCTCCCCGTGTGGTCGAGCTGCCGATCTGCCCCAGCCCGGTCTAGGGTTTAAAGACTATTTCTATAAAGGATGTATAGGGTTTGTGGAAACCCTTAACCCTACACCCTAAACCCTAAATTTCTATAAAGGATGTATAACGTTTATGGACTGTGTATAGGGCTTCAAAGACGATCCCTACATATTTTCGTCTTCAGGATTTCTGGTTTACAGGTTCTGGCACAAGGGGAGCGGCTCCCATTTACAAGCAAAAGAGTATCAAAATTGAGCCTCTTAGGAGGCCCAGCACCCCCTTGCCTTTTTTAGGGTGAGAGTTGAGGTAAACGGGGTTTAGGGTGGTTTAGGGTTTAGGGTTGGAGAAAGCTCATTAAGAGCATCTCAGACCCTAAGCCCTAAACCCAAGACGACGATGCATAGAAATGCCTTTTTCAAGGAAAATATGTAGAAATCGCCTTTGAAGCCTTACACAATCTCCATAAACCCTATAAATCCTTTGGGAGGTGCACCCCTAAGGCGTCTTGGATCCAATTTCGTTTTCCCAGAATGTGTGGGACTGTAAGGCCCCGGGCTTCGAGCTGCGGCCTGCCACGCTCCTGCGATCGCCCAAGAGGCAAACGGAGCATCCCCGAGTGAGGTGTATATAGGGGTTTGGAGGTTTAGGGATTTAGGGATTTAGGGGTTTAGGGTTTAGGGGTGTAGGGATTTAGGGGTTTAGGGTTTAAGTGGACCTTCTGCGCACGAAGTTTGTGCACTTCGGCTACAGCGAGGAAGACCTCCTGGCAAAGGCAAACTAGAATCCCTTCGCGCGCGCGCATTTGTGGGCCTGGGCCGACGTATCTTCAGTTCATAGGGTCTGCTGGGCTGCAAGCTGAACCGGGACCCCTCAACCGAGACAGCAACCCCAAGGCAAAACCTGCTTGATCCTCTCCCCATCTTTATGCAGCACACAATAAACATGCGTACTAGCAACATTTTCCTGGAACCATCCCCTCCTTTTAGAGCCAAGGTTTCTGAAAGATGCATACACTACTAAGGTCGGCCTGGCAGCGCATCTTCAACCCTAAACTCCCATAGACGTTATGTAAGAAACCGAAACCCTAAACCCTATGATCCCATAAACCCTAGCTAGAGAATACGTGAAGCAACCTTCTTGAGGCGCCTTTGCCAGCGCCACGGCGGCGCTTTCGACGGAGCGCACTGGCACAGCAGCTTTCTGCGGAGGCCTGGTCATGAGGGCTTCCCTCGATCGGTCAGATCACTGTCTGAATTACTGTATACGAGGAAACTAAGTCTGGGCTCGATATGCCGATCGGGGGGTGCGAGCAACGCTGACGCGGGGAAGAGGGCTTCTGCCTGATCCAATCTATCTTTCAAGCTTCCATCGTAGTGGCAATGGGATTCTTTTGTGATGGGGCCGCAGTCACAAAACACAATCGCACCACAAACCACAGCGACTGTTAACCGGATAGTGTGACAGCTGCCACTGCTGCTGTGATCCGCCAGGAGACGCCTAAATCGCAGCCTAAACCCCTAGACCCAAGACCCCGGACCGCCGAAACCCACACCTGAGCCCCTGAAGCCTCCAGAACGTGCACCCATCTCTGCCTCCTGAGGTTTATGGGGTTTAGGATTCAGGGCTTAGTATTGATAGGGTTTGGGGTGTAAAATATTGATAGGGTTTTGTGTTTAGGGTTCCGGTTTATCCTGTGCCAGATTGCTTTGACAACGCCTTCAAAGATGGCACTATGGCACTCAAACTTCCCGCCTCGCATAAGCACCTCTTGAGATGGGACAATGCTCTCTCCAAGGCGACAAGGGGCCCTAAACCCTGAACCCTAAAGGCCCTAAAGCCTAAACCTCTCTGGGTCTCCGGCTCAGTGCCGAGTGGTCTTGCCTTCAGCGCATCGACCTCCCAGGAGGGACAAGGCAACAAGGACGGCTTAGGCTTTAGGGCTTGGGGTTTATAGCGCTTATAGAGTTTAGGTGTGGGGTTTTGGGTCGGGGCCTAAATGATTACCTGTACCATTTTGGGGTGTTCCTTATAATGGGCCTCAAAACCCTGATTAAAGCCGATCCCGTCAACTTGACGAACGATGAGATGCTCCGGGGGTCCAAATGAGCAGTGTACGGGGCGTGAAATAGATGCAGAACACTGGCTGGCGCGGGCCTCAGGAGCCCATTGTTTCGCTCCAGTGTTCCGGGTTCGGAGGGCTCCTACGTAACTCCTTCCCTCCGCTCTTTGTGGGGAGTCCAAACATGATCAACTTACACTGGGGGGAACCCATATCTTGAGAGCCTGCGTATAGAAGAAAACCCAGACCAGGCAGCATCCTCGGCCCCACGCCTTGCGCCCGCATTCTCGCTTTCCCTATCCTGTTTGCAGCATATGCTTCTTGGTGCCAGCAGCCTCTACAGCACGTCCAAAGGATCGACTTGACAGCCCATGCACGAGTCCTAAGACCTTCTGCTTTCCTATTCCTCTGTTTCGTACGACATCATTCTGCTTGCTGTAGAATCCCAAGCACAACGCGCAACGGATCTTCGAAGAGTTCACGGTACTCTATAGGTGCTACATCAGACTTAGGACTGAAGGATAGCGAACTGAAAGCTCCTATCATCATGGTTTAGGCTTTAGGGTCTAGGGTTTGGGGTTTAGGGTTTATTAGGGTCTAGGGTATTAGGGTTCAGAGTTTAGGGTTAGCGTTTTTGGGTTTGCAGCTTAGCGGCTTAGGCTTAAAATCATCGGCATCCTTGGCCACCGGCATCTTTGGGCTTCCATCTCAGCTCTAAAGATCGCAGTGCCGGCGGTTGCCGCTAGGCTCGCGTACAACAGTAGCATAGAGTTTAGGGTTAGGGTTTAGGCGTTTCGGGCTTAGGGCTTGGAGCTTAGGGGCTTAGACAGTCAACATGAGCCCGACATCTGATGCAAACGAGGAAGTGCGAAGCTGAAACACTTCAATTCAAGGTCGCGACCATTCCCTTCGAATTACTCACAGGTGACTGTCTCCCGTGAGACGCAGTCAAGAAACCCTAAAGCGGAGGATCCTCAAAATGAAACCCTAAACCCTAAACCCATGAACCCGAAAACCCTAAACCCAATGCTACTGTTGTACCCGATATACCAGGGGCCTAGCGGCGGAGGATCCTGGCTCTCGTTTTGGAGAGATCACCTCGGGAAGGCCGAGGAGCAGAGAGCTTAGCAGGCCTAGAGTTGCACGTGAGCTCTGTGGCTATAGAGTCTAAACGCCTTGGAGGGGACTACCGTAGGGGATATAAGGAGGATAATCGCCTCAGGCATTTGAAAAGCTTCACCAGAGGGCTTAAGCCCTGCAGCAGATGAAAACGCGTGCAATTCCCTGTCTCGGCAGGCTGAAGTACAGCAATTAAATGCAAATAAATTAAAAAAACTTGTGGCCTCAAGAAGCCTCGCAGCTGCAATTCTCGCAGCTCAAGGCGGCCTCAACACAGCGCCTCACTGGCTGTGCCAGCCTGTTGCCGCCCAAATGCAGCATCTTAAGGGAGGTCAAGCCCTGGAAGACCCTTTGCGGGAGCTCTGCCAGCTGGTTGCTGTACAAGTCCAACACCTGAAGCGAGGTCAAGCCCTGGAAGACCTTCTCCGGGAGCTCTGCCAGGTTGTTGCTGTTCAACTCCAGTGTCTCAAGGGAGGTCAAGCCATGGAAGACCTTCTCCGGGAGCTCTGCCAGCTTGTTGTCGTGCAACTTCAGCGTCTCAAGTGAGGTCAAGCCCTGGAAGACCGCTGCTGGGAGCTCTGCCAGCTTGTTGTAGAACAACTCCAGCGTCTCAAGGGAGGTCAAGCCCTGGAAGACCGTTTCCGGGAGCTCTGCCAGCTTGATGTTGACGCTCAAATCCAGCGTCTCAAGGGAGGTCAAGCCCTGGAAGACCGCTGCGGGGAGCTCTGCCAGCTTGTTGTAGAACAACTCCAGCGTCTCAAGGGAGGTCAAGCCCTGGAAGACCGTTTCCGGGAGCTCTGCCAGCTTGTTGCCGCTCAAATCCAGCCTCTCAAGGGAGGTCAAGCCCTGGAAGACCGTTTCCGGGAGCTCTGCCAGCTTGTTGTCGCTCAAATCCAGCCTCTCAAGGGAGGTCAAGCCCTGGAAGACCCTTTGCGGGAGCTCTGCCAGCTTGTTGTAGAACAACTCCAACACCTGAAGCGAGGTCAAGCCCTGGAAGACCTTTTCCGGGAGCTCTGCCAGGTTGTTGCTGTTCAACTCCAGTGTCTCAAGGGAGGTCAAGCCCTGGAAGACCTTCTCCGGGAGCTCTGCCAGGTTGTTGCTGTTCAACTCCAGTGTCTCAAGGGAGGTCAAGCCCTGGAAGACCTTCTCCGGGAGCTCTGCCAGCTTGTAGTTGTTGCCCAAATCCAGCCTCTTAAGAGAGGTCAAGCCCTGGAAGACCGTTTCCGGGAGCTCTGCCAGCTTGATGTTGACGCGCAAATCCAGCGTCTCAAGGGAGGTCAAGCCCTGGAAGACCGCTGCGGGGAGCTCTGCCAGCTTGTTGTAGAACAACTCCAGCCTCTTAAGAGAGGTCAAGCCCTGGAAGACCTTCTCCGGGAGCTCTGCCAGGTTGTTGCTGTTCAACTCCAGTGTCTCAAGGGAGGTCAAGCCCTGGAAGACCTTCTCCGGGAGCTCTGCCAGCTTGTAGTTGTTGCCCAAATCCAGCCTCTTAAGAGAGGTCAAGCCCTGGAAGACCGTTTCCGGGAGCTCTGCCAGCTTGATGTTGACGCGCAAATCCAGCGTCTCAAGGGAGGTCAAGCCCTGGAAGACCGCTGCGGGGAGCTCTGCCAGCTTGTTGTAGAACAACTCCAGCCTCTTAAGAGAGGTCAAGCCCTGGAAGACCTTCTCCGGGAGCTCTGCCAGGTTGTTGCTGTTCAACTCCAGTGTCTCAAGGGAGGTCAAGCCCTGGAAGACCTTCTCCGGGAGCTCTGCCAGCTTGTAGTTGCTGCCCAAATCCAGCCTCTTAAGAGAGGTCAAGCCCTGGAAGACCGTTTCTGGGAGCTCTGCCAGCTGGTTGCTGTACAACTCCAACACCTGAAGCGAGGTCAAGCCCTGGAAGACCTTCTCCGGGAGCTCTGCCAGGTTGTTGCTGTTCAACTCCAGTGTCTCAAGGGAGGTCAAGCCATGGAAGACCTTCTCCGGGAGCTCTGCCAGCTTGTTGTCGTGCAACTTCAGCGTCTCAAGTGAGGTCAAGCCCTGGAAGACCGCTGCTGGGAGCTCTGCCAGCTTGTTGTAGAACAACTCCAGCGTCTCAAGGGAGGTCAAGCCCTGGAAGACCGTTTCCGGGAGCTCGGCCAGCTGGTTCCAGCGCAAATCCAGCTTCTGAAGGGAGGTCAAGCCCTGGAAGACCTGCTCCGGGAGCTCCAGGTTGTTGTACCGCAAATCCAGCGTCTGCAGGGAGGTCAAGCCCTGGAAGACTGTTTCCGGGAGCTCTGCCAGCTTGTTGCTGTGCAAATCCAGCTGCTGAAGGGAGGTCAGGTTTTGGAAGACCGTTTCCGGAAGCTGTTCCAGCTTGTTGCTGCCCAAATCCAGCTTCTGAAGCGAGGTCAAGCCTGCGAAGGTGTGGTCGGAGACGTTGAGGAGGTTGTTGCGGCCGAGGTCCAGGACTCGGAGTCTGTGGAGATGCGAGAAGGTGGCGTCCTCCAAGTTCTTCAGATTGTTCTCGCTGACGTCCAACACTCTCAGCCGAGGGTTCTGCGTGAAGTTCGGCAAACTCACAAGCTGGTTCCCGCTCACGATTACATTGCCTTGTTTGTCGCTTTTGCCACCTAGAAGGAGCTGCTCCAAGCGGAGCAGCGGTTTGAGAACCTGGGTGGGGAGGTCGGTCAGCAAGTTTTGGCTGAGCGACAGGAGGCGCAGCTGCGCCAGGCCCTCGAAGGCCTCATCCTCCAGGTGCTCGAGGCGTCCTCTGCCCAGGTCCAGGGCTTCCAGGCAACTCAGGTGCCGGAACCGTTTCGCCGGCAGGGAGGTCAACTTGTGGTTGGACAGGGATAGGCGCCGTACATAGCAGCCTAGGGGGTCCAACGCTGCTTGGGCGATGCTGTGGACGCCGGGCAGGGCCAGCTCCGGCTGTCGGAGTACGGCTGCTAATCGGCAGCTTTCCAGGCGCCTCGCCTCCTGAGAGCAGCGGCACGGGAAGCAGCTGAAGTCTTCGGAGTGGCCAGGGTACATGTCCGGAGAGCGAAGAAACAGGAAAAGCACCAGGAGCAGGATGGGAGAGTACAGTGCCTTGAGGCATCGAAGCACCAGCCGGCCATGACGGGTAGGAAAGACCGTGCGGTGATTGATCGGTCGCTTCGATTGCTTTGGCCCCACAGAGCTTTCGCCCAGACCGCCCAGACTGCCCAGATCCCTGGCACGTTCGACAGAGCGGCAGGCACAACAGGTGTGCGCAAGGCTGATGTACACCGCCAGGAACTGCAGGATGTCAGAGGGGAAAGCGAAGGTTGGGCTTATGCCTTAGCGCACACGATGTGAGCTGCCCGACAGTGCTGGCGGCACTTCCATTCGTGCTCAAGCTGCTATTGCTGAGGTCCAGCTCCTCCGCATCCCCGAAGTTGCCACGCACGGCCGTCTCCAGCGTCAGCTCGGACATGGCGGTCACCTGAGCCGTGCTAGACTGACTCTCGGCACGGCCTTCTCTAAATCCCAACAAGGAGCCACGGTGAGCAAATAGGTGAGCATGTATCCCAGATCCATCACCACATCCATGACAGCAGCACCTCGGCTGTGTCCCCTGCAGGAAGACACGTCGTCTACACTTCCCCTCACTGTCACTCGCTCTCGATCACTCCGAGGAGCCATAGCGACACCAGCGGGAATCTGGCCGCACAAAAAGGATACTCGGGTACAGGCTGTTGAAGGTCAGCAGCACATAGAAGATCCAGACGCATCGTTTCAGCACCAAGGCTGCTGGGATGTTCTGATACATTGCAAATGTGACAGTCCCTCCCAGAAGCGGTACCTGGCAGGGGGAACTTTAGGTCCTGGATTGCATTGATTCGGACGCTTATTGCGAACATGGCGTATCTCCCCAAAGATTCGGGGAGTATCTGTCCTATTCGTGAGAATCCGCCTTCCCGAAGGCTTGCAGGAGCACTGTCATTATCTGGATCAGTGCGACCTTCAAGGCGCTCAGGTCAGAAAAGCGCACGACATGATTTAGCTGAGCCGCGCCAACAAAGATTGCAGGGAACTCCTGAACCCTAAACCCTAAACCCTAAGCCCAAACCGTAAAGCTTCGGAAGCCCTGCCTTGACAACATAGCAGTTGCCGTGGACTCCAAAGTGCCGCTCAAAGATGATCTGGGAAGGTTTCAGCCTCCATGGTCTGCTGTTGCTGTTCATGAAGAACGCAAAACATCACAAATTGAAAATTGAAGGATTTGGACCGTCTGTTGGATTAGTTGTCCGCGCTCTTCCTCCCGTAACCTTCAGCTGCGATTGCCTTCTGAACAGTGCGCAACCAAAGAATGCAGCCTGACACGAACTCTGCGCACGTCCGATCTGTTGCTGCACAAATCTGCTATGTCGGCCTGCGGGACACCCGACGCCGGCACCGCAGAAGGTCGTGACCTCACGACGGTCTAAACCCAGCTCAACTTCCCTTTCCGTGGGTCGACTCTTTGGGACTTCTCTGTCTCAACAATCTGAAGTGCCGACGTCGAAGGATCAAACAGAAACTTTTCTGACACCGCTAGCCTCGAAGCGGTGCCCCAATGCTGAGCAGTACAATTTGTTGCGGTTGCAGAAATACTGAAATACGATGCCGTTGCTTTGGCCTCGAAGTGGTGCCCCAGTGCCAAGAAGTACATTTGTTGCTAAGAAGTACGATTTCTTGCCGCTGCTTCGGCCTCGAAGTATTGCCCCAATGCGAAGAAGTACGATTTGTTGCTGCTGCTGTGGCCTCGAAGTGGTGCCCCAGTGCTGTTAAGTACATTTGTTGCAGTTGCTCTGGCCTCGCAATGGTGCCCCACTAAGAAGTACGATTTCTTTGCCGCTGTTTTGGCCTTGAAGTGGTGCCGAAGTACGATTTGTTGAAGTTGCTTTGGCCTCGAAGTGGTTCTCCAGTGCTAGCAAGTACGGTTTGTTGGTTTCTTGCCGTTGTTTTGGCCTCGAAGTGGTGCCCCTGTGCTAAGAAGTGCGATGTGTTGTCGTTTCTTTGGCCTTGAAGCCGTGCCCCACTGCTAAGAAGTACGATGTTGTAGCCGTTGTCTTGGCCTCAGTGCTAGGAAGCTAGATTTGTTGCCGTTGTTTTGGCCGCGAATCGGTGCCCCAGCGCTACGAAGTACGATTTGTTGCCGTTGTTTCGGCTTCGAAGTCTAATGAAGTCTAAGAAGTATGAATTGTTGCCGCTGCTTTGGCCGAACATTTCTCATGGCCTAAGGGATCGAAAGTCCATGCTTTTCACTGTTACCATCAAAACCTATCAAGCTTTTCCCTTTGGTTCACATGAGATTTCTGTTCTCAATTGGGCTGACCTGGGGACGGCTGCGATAGCATCGAGCAACAACAGACCTCTGCAGCGAGCTCCCCCTAAACACATTGAAGCTCCGAAGCCCTTTTGCATGTCTGGGTCAGATTGTAGACAAGGTGCTGAAAACAAAGACAAGGACCGCATAGGGAAGGGCCAGGCTGATTGCCTGGAACCAGGATCTGTCCTCTGCGTCTTCAATCTTCAGCCAAGCACCGAGCCCTGGCAGGCTCTCGCTTAGCACCGGCGGCCCGTAGCGCAGGAAGTACTGTAAGGCGAAATACCCGCTGCACAGCAGAGCCGTCGCCCTCACCAGGCCCAGGATAATGGTAAGCCACAGAGAAGGTCTCGGAGACCTCTTCGCCTTCGCCTTCTGCTTGCTTTCTTGGCCTCTGCCGGGTCGCGGGTCCACCAGAAGGCCGAAATTCTGTGCCTTAGAATCTTTTGGAGTGCTGTTGCGTTCTGTTTCTTTTTACCTGTTGGATACATTGACTCCGGGTTTATGGGCGCTCGCCATACGTGCGCAACACACAAGCCGGGGAGCCATGCGGCAAAGGCCAGCAAGCTTCCTTTCTGCGGAATCCAAAGATCGCTCCAAAAGCAGCACAGTAGCGAAGTAGCCTTGCTGCAAAGTCAGCAAAAAACACACGCCGCACGACTCGCCACTCTCACTGAGCACGCGGCCCTCGATGCAAAGCACGACTTCACAGCACCTTCGCTTGCTGTCTTCTTCTGCGAAGCCGTCTCGCAAGGCCACGATGCGGATCGGCTGCTCCTCGCCCTGGAAAGCCCTGACAAAGGCGATGAACTATGACGAAAAATGAAATGCAGGGCGACTGCATCCGTGCACAGGCTCACAGGGGCCGTTCGGGCCTGCTCAGCTCGTTCCATGTTTGCCGCATGTGCAGGATGTCTTTGCAGTAGATCTCATATTGCAAGATGTCCACAGCTCCTGAAAACCGCCGAGACTTGTAAAGGCCTATATTCATATGTTGCCACTCAGATTCAACGTATCCCGACACTTTCCCTGTGCCTTGGAACTCGGAAGCAAGGAGAGCCTCATCCCCGCACTTCAGGTGTGCTTCCATGCCATCTGCATCCACTGCCCTCACAACCTTCTGCACCGCGCTCCTCAGGAAGATGCTCAAGCAAGCTCAAGCTCCCACAGCCGTTCGATGCTCTCCCCACAACCAAGCAGCTCAAAGCTCGGAAGGTGCTGCCGCGCAGACAGAAAGCTGCTTTTCCTCGGGCAGCCGCTGAAGAGCGCAGCACTGCAAGCAGCTGCAGCCAAGCTGCAAATCGCTCACCGTCTCCTGCAGATTTCTTTGTGTTTGATTGATGCTTGCATTCTGCTTGCCGGCTAATTCTGCTAGTGTACATGTTGTCTGGAAGTCGGGGAATCATGCTCCTGCCGCACTTGGTCCACGCTTGGATATTTCTCCCCATCTACACCGAAGACCAGCGAGGTGTGGGACAGGTGGCCGTCATCCTCCAACACCTGCTGATGCACGGAGATTTGGGCATCACCTCTGTGCATGACTTCGCCAGTGTCGCAGGGGCCCCGTTGTTGCTGGTAGGCACAGGACTACGGGAGTACCCATCTTAACTTGTATATGCATTGTCTCAGCGTGCGTGCCTTCGAGTAGAAAGCCTCCGAGGACAGGGAAAACTCTCGTGCCGCGCGTTGCATCTGGTCGAAACGGAAACTTGCGAAGGAGAAGGAGGCAACCAGCAGAGCCAGCAACACCATGGACAGCGAGGAGACCTCAAATGGTCCGGCGAGTCCCGCATGCAGCAGAGTGGGGATACTCCAGAGGTCAATTCCCACAGTGCCAGGACACGGAGAAGCCGCTCACGTTCGCCACACCAAAGACCAGAACCGGATACCTGGGATGTTTTGCGTGCCTGTTGGACAATTCAAGGCCTAGCCATGGTGTTCAAATGCTGGCGAATCTGTATAGTCGTCAAGGTGCAGGGACAGCAGAATCAGCAGCAGCAGGCCTTTGTATCCCAAACTGCCGCTATCACCGAAGCTGCTACTTCTTCTTTCGATCAGATGTTTCAGCTTTTCTAACCTTGCAGGCTCCCTGAATGTCCACCCCAAACCAGATCGGATGCTGGCCTCTGGACTCGATGTCGGCAGCTGCTTGCACGAAGAAGATCAGAGCCAACTCAGACCAACACCGAGCCTCTAGCAAACAAGAAGCCGTGGGATTTCTTTGCACCTACATAAACCTTGAACCGAGCTGATCAGCCATGGGCCGGACCTCTTGGAAGGATTTGAATGCACTCCGCCGGAGGCTGCAGAAGAAGTGCTGGTCGCAATATCCATTCCTGAAAGGACCGTGCCACTTATATAACCAGGCATTCGCACAAGGATGAAGCCAAAGCGCAGGTTCGCATGGAAGCGTGGGCAGCGCCCGTGGCTGCATGGAAACGGCAAGTCCTGCTCCAAGGGCAGGCTTGGGGTTTAGGGTTTCTGCCAGGGAAGATGTTGCAATTTGTTGTTGCTCCTGGTTGATCTCGGATTCTGTTCTCGTGCTTTGCCCTTTCTCCGAGCCGCTGCCTGCAGGCAGTGGAAGGGAATGCCGGCAAGGAAGCCGTTGATCTTGAACCTCTGAGGCCCGGGCTTTGGAAGCCTTGCAACTTCCGGATGCGATCCCATGGCAGCAGAGCCTGGAGCTGCTGCGTCCACGTCGCTGCATCCTCCCGACCAGAGGTCTGCGTCTGCTGCAGCTAGTCGCTAATCACCCCTGGTAGAACACCGAGCGCAGTCCTCGATGCAGAGCCACATCTGCAAGTCCTTGTCACGGCTCTGAAGCTTTCGGGCGGCATTGTGCCTCGCTGCCAACGACTTCGCACTGCTAAATGAGATGCATACATGGAGGGCACTGCATGGGCACAGACACATCGCCATGCCAAGGCGCAATGCCTGCTTCGAAGCTTGGGGAACCTCTCAGGGAGCACTCAACCCTCAACCAGCACGAAATCTCAACCGTAGGAACCGTATCCGTCCCTTCTCCCCTTTTTATCACGACGAAACGTATTGCAGCAGGTCGAGGGCCTTGGGGCACCCTTGGACGTGGAGAGACAACTCCTCCAAGCGGAGCTTCAGCCTAAGCTACGAAGCGTCTTTCAAGAGTCTTCGATGCAGTTTGAGATCTTGCAGGCAAGGAGCAAAGCTTCGCTGAGATTGAGCTCTTCAAGCATCGGCAAGGCTGCAAACCAAAGCTCCAAACGGAGCAAGGAAGCTTGGGCCGTGTCGAGGAGGGCTGCTATGCCGACAGCTTCTCGCAGCGATGCCCCTGAGAAGCGAAGCTGCAGTGTGCGCAGCTGGCAGCAAAAGCCGTCCACTGCGATGGTCTGCAGGCCTGTGTGGCCAAGGTCCAGGCGGAGGCACAGAAGAGTTCTTGGCAAATGAGCCAAGAGCGCGCGCATCTGTGCATCTCTGAAGTGTTTGCAGCCAGTCAATGAGAGCTGCACGGAAAGGCGGGCAGCATCCACACGGAGTGCAGCCAGAAAATTGCTTGGGTCGGTGTCTCGAGTGTAGCATGCATAGAGGCTGCTCAAAGCAAAGTGGCTCCTCAATGCCCGATTCACGGCTCCATACTTGTCGTGCTCCTCCTTTGGTGCCTCATCCAGGGCCTGCGTTCCTGCTCGTGGGAAGGCAATGCTGTTCAAGATTCGTGTCTTGTCCTCCTCCCTGGAGGCCTCGGCAATCTCAATGCGGACTCCGAGTCCGTGCTCCAGTAAATTGGCGGGGAAAGGTTCCTCACGCCGGGATTTGGCAAGTAGCCCCAGCAGGGGCAGCAACTTGGCCTCATTTCCCGCAAGGCCATCCTGCAGGATGACAAGAACAACTGCGCATAAAAATGCGCTATTTGCTGGGAATCAACACCTAGGACCTAGGCAAGCGGGGCTGTACAATCTACAGATTTACCCGCACTGGTCCGTAAGGATGTGGGCCATATCGCCGCTTGTCGCCGCCACGTCCAGAAAGAGCTTGGCGGAGTTTTCAACCTGCCGGGGAGGCGGTCGGGGCTTTGAAACTTTTGAAGCTTTGAGAGGCCTCCGCGGGCCCTTAAAGGTAGCACTACAGTCAAGACTCAACTTCCTGTGAACATCTATCTATAACTTCAGACTCATCTAAACGACCTGAGCGATGCAGAGGCAGAGCAATCACAACAGCCGGGCCGCAGCAATTGCTTCCTCGAAACAGCCTCAGCTGGAGCAGCTGCTTATGGCAGAGCAGACGAAACATCGGAAGCACCGTGAAGCACCACACAGACACGCCGGGTGGCACCAGATTCTCTGAAAGGGCGTGGCTGCAGCATCCAGCACCAGCAGCACTCCACGGCAGAGCATCATCGCCAAGTAAAATGATGATTTCCGCGGATCTGTCGGTTGGATGGTATTCTTCATATAAGTATCACGATACCCGTGCAACAAAGATGCTACGAACCATGTGATCAGTTCCTTTCAGGACCTGTCGAATGTGGTCTCTCGGGCATGACGATCACGACGAGGCGGCAAGGACTCACCCGGCCTGTGGGGATGGCATCGCCGAGTGCCTTGGGAGAGGGTTTTTCTGAGCGGTCAAGGACTGGTGTTTCAGTTCGAGGCTGCCTGGGTGCATGCTGGTTGTTCGCATAGGCACAGACCCAGTACGCAGGATCTCCGCGCAAGTCTCGCACGGCAGCGTGGCGGAGCAAGCACCGCAGGAACAGCACCTGATTTGGCCGCTGGAGAGTTGAGGGTTGCGGGGGTCATCCCGGAAGCTTCTCTAGAAAGCACAAACAAAGAAGATGAACCAAGGCACGATTGGCTCTTTCCAGGCATGTGATACAAACCACGTGGGACGTTGTGCTTCTATGCTCTCTGCCACGAGCCTAAGATGCGGGGCAATGCACGCACAAGCCTGCGTTCGCCCTGAGGGTTGACTGAACCCTCTGCTGCATGCGGTTACTTTCAAGCGGTTACTTTCAAGAAAATGGTCAACGCGACTGCCTCCACATAGCTGCAGCCGCGCCCACCTGCTCCTGTAGCCACGAAAACCGCTTTCTGTCTTTGGCTTTTGCTGCATGCATTTGCCGCTGAAGCCCTTCCGTCGCTCTCCTGCAGTCGCCGGCTGCAAGATCCAGTAGTCTGCATGATACCTAGGTTGCGGGCATCAACGCATACGCATCGATGAAGCGATGATGCTACGAAAGCGTCTGCTCACATGTACCCAGGGCGCAGATTGAAGGACTCAAAGGACAGAGGTAGCCCGCACTCTGCACCAAACGTGCCAAACCAACACTGGACCATACCTTGCATAACGGAACATGTGCCATAACTGAGGAATTGCAAGCGATGCCAACGGCAGATGTGTGCAAAGCAAGTAGTGTTGGGCAGGCCAGCAGTGACAATGACGGACAACATAAAGGCCATAAGGACCAGACCTTGCATGAAGGCGAGTAGGGCCTCGTCGACAGGTGCCACTCAAAGGAACGCTTTGCCACAGTGGACTCAAACTGGCCAAGAAAATCTCAACGGCCTGAATTTGCGGAATGGTAATGCCGCTGAGCTCTGTCGGGATTTGGAGAGGGCTGCCGGCTGAATGTAAGCGGCCGTAGTTCGCCAGCGCCAACCTGAGATACCACAAAGTGGTGGAATTAGGGTTTAGGGTTTAGGGTTTAGGTTGTAGGAGTTTAGCATTGAAGGCCTAGGGGATATCTTCTCAAGTGCTCCCCGCAAGGAACTCGTTGCCAGCCTGCGTCTGAGGCGGCATCTCGTCTGTCTCCGTGAACTTCCGGGCGCCGCGTGACAGCAAGACGTTTCCATGCCAAGGGTCTCCGGGCAACTTCCTCAGATCTAAGCTTAACGGGGTTTAGGGATTAGGGTTTAGTGTAAAGCTCGAAGGTTCCTTTTCAGACGACCCGCTTTCGCAGGCACATGAGTCGGCCCAAAGCCAAAAGCGGCGAGGGCACTTTGCAGAGGCCCCGGGGGTCGGGGACTCGTCTTCTAGTTGTAAATTGGTAGCGGAGCGGCTAGCGCTCCTAGGCCCTCCGTAGTTTTGTCTGTCCTGCGAACTTTGTTTTTTGTTGCAATGTCGACCAGTGGTCCCACGAGTATGTACGACGGCTACTTGAACCGTGATGGTCAGCAACCTAGTGTCGATTCTCCGCAACAAGATGGTGATGGCGGTGATGGCGATCATAGGGACGTAGGAGATAGTCACCCTCCTCGTGACGATCGTGGCGCACCGGAGAGTCAGTGGACACTGGGGCAAGAGTGGTGGAGTGACGGATGGCACCGCCAATGGGGTCACTCATGGGGCAATGACAGTCGTGACTGGGATCGCTCTGGGTGGGCTCAGGATTTCAGTTCAAGGACTGTCCACGATGGGACGTGGTACGACTCTCGGCCCTGGGGATCGGCCTCTACGGGAACGGGGTCTCTCGACGGAGGCCAAGATCGCGACTCCAAGGACTCCTCTCTGGACGCTTGGGGACGCCACGTGTCGAGCAATGATTCGAGGAACTTCCAAGGCGGTGGATGGCAACCTGATGGATGGCGTCCTTCGACAGACGCCCAAGGCACACCTTACGAGGCGAAGAGGGGAGAGTTCAGCTGTGGCCCTTCGGAAAAGATGATCGTTCCGACCTTTTCGGGTCTGACTCCTTCCTCTGGAGATGACTTGGGCACATCTGCTCGCTCGTATCTCAGGCAAGTTTCTGCGTGGAGGCGAATGACGAGAATGAGTGAGGATCAGCAGGCCCTCACCCTCTACCAGCATTTAACGGACCGAGCATGGGTGGACGCAGAAAGACTCGACATGGACAAGCTGGGGAGCAAGTTCGGCGTCGACTACCTGGTCGAGTGGATCAAAGATCGGTACCTGGACGTGCAAGTGACGCAGATTGGGAGGAGCCTGTCTGGTTTCTTTCGGAGTTTGCATCGGAAGGCAAACCAATCGGTCCGCGACTATATGGCGGACTTTGACAGGGCACACTCTCGGCTCCAGGAAGTCGGGTGTCAACTGCCGGACGTTGCAGTGGCATGGGTTTTCGTGGACCGAAAGGGGCTTGGAAGAACAAGAAGAACTGAATCTGCTCGCCTCGGTGGGCAACCAGTACTCGCTGAAGGCCCTCCAGCAGGCTGCCATTGTCCATGACCGAGGACTCCGGAAGCCATGGGAGAACCAAACACGTCCTCCCAGGAAGGAGTGGACTCCTCGCAAACCTTTCTCGGCTAACCTCGCCGGGATCGAGGAGAACGGGTCCTACGAGATCTACGAGGCCTTCGAGCTGGACGAGACCAATGAGGAGGCCGTTCCGGAGGATGTGGCACAAGAGCTCTATCAGGCTTATATGACCCACGAGTCGGCCAAACAGCGTTACCGTGAGAACGCCAAGCTGAGGGGCTCCGATCCGGATTCCCTGAAGCAGCTGGCCAGCGACAAGCTTAAGGCAGCGAAGGCTCGCTCGTTCTGCGCGGGCTGCAAGAGGCGGGGTCATTGGCACAAGGACAGCGTGTGCCCATTGAACCAAGCCAATGCGGGCAGCTCTGGCACTGGCGGCGGTGGCAAGGCCGGTTCCTCTACGGCGACTGTTGGGAGCAGGGACGATGCGAAGGCCATGTACCCCTGCCATGTGGTTCATGTTACCTGGGAAATAGAGGGCTTTGTCAACAAGGATCTGTTAGCGATAACAGATACAGCGTGCTCGCGTTCGGTGGCCGGAGCAGCATGGGTGGACACCTACTTGGCCGAGGCTCGGAAGTTGGAGTGCGACCCACAGTTCACCTCGTGTCGTGAAGCCTTCAAGTTTGGGGCTTCGAAGGTGTTCGTTGCGAGCTACGGGGTCATCCTCTGTTTCGAGCTTGGCGGGTTCAAGATTGGACTCCGAGTTGCCGTTGTGAACGGCGATGTTCCACTACTGGTTTCGCGCGGTGCCCTTGGAAAATTGGGGATGCTGTTGGATGTGGCCGAGAACAAGGCTACCTTCAAGGCCATTGGCGTTCATGACATGGATCTGGAGATCACCGAGACGGGGCACCCCGCTTTCCAGATTAGGCCGGCGCCCCTGCCGAAGTGTTTTGGCACAGACTCCAAATGGGAGTCTGCCGAGATCATGATCTTTCCGCAGGGTGAGCAATACACGAGTGCAGCCAAGGGGAAGGGATGTGATGATGTCGTGGGCGATGATGGTTCAGGTTCATCGGCGAGTTCGGGATCTTTGCCTTGTATGACTAGTTGGATGGTGAGTTCTCTTGCAGTTGGTGATGAAAATGGTGGAGGTGGTGAAGGAGATACTCTTCCTGAAGAACCCCGAAGTCCCAAAGGAGATCCCGGGTATCGTCCCCTGTTCTATCCTAAGAAGATCGGTGTAGCTACCAAGAACTTCCTCCTTGATCCCAACTTCAATCCTACGACCTTCGCGGCTTGGTGATCATCTACGAGTATTTCAAACGATTTTTGGATAGAAAGCGCTGAAGTATTAGTTCGTGTCCACGTTATCCCTCGTCGTTCATTCTTCAACCCTCAACATTGGAAGACGCAGAACGTAACCCACAAGGAGAAGCTACTACAATCACTTGGTGCCGTCAGGAGCATTCATGCTTTGTCATGCAAGAGTCACAGAGAGTTTCCGGAAGTGCACGGTCTTTGGCAAGCGCACAGTGATGATGGATCTTTCCCTGTACTTTGGATCGGCAGAAGTGTCTTTCGTAGACGACTTTCGATGCCTCACTCGCTTTCCCCTCGCGCTCTTTCGGCTGATGGCTCAGAGCTCGGATCTCCTGACCGCTCCTGTCGTTACCCGGGCAAAGACGCTGTCCGAGTTCACGAAGGCGGAACTCTTGGCGGAAGCCCAGGCCAGGAACTTGTGGGTGCACGAGAAATGGACCGTTCCGGAGCTGAGGTCCGCGATCCAAGAGGACCGACGAAACCCCTCAGCCAACCACCCAGCGAATGCCCTCAAGGGAATGAGTTCGATGACCTTGGAAGACCTCAAGATCCGCGCGATGGAGCTCAACTACATGGTACCGCAGTACGCCACCCGCGGCACGATCATGAGGATCCTGAGGGACCAGGGTGGGACGGGACCCGAGTCCATTTTGGGGTTCGGGAGATTCCGAGGAAAGGCTTTCAAGGACACCCCGGTGTCCTACCGGAACTGGGCCGTGCGAGAAGTGGAGAGCAACGACAACCCGTCGGAGGACCTCGTCCTCTATGCGAACTGGTGGAAGACGGAGATGCACAAGTGGAACCCGGAAACTCAGGAGATCAAGGACCCCTTCGACGCGGAGGAGTGTGCGACGATCCCCTACGTGGACGACGGGAGCTCTACGGCATCTTGGGACATCCTACACCGGGAAGCCACGATGATGTCCCAGGCGGCGACACCGAAGTCCAAGGCCGCGGGCTACCCGCAGCAGGCTCCGAGGACCCCTGTGCGACGACGCTCAGCCGAAGGACCTCCTGTTCCGACACCGGTGAGAATGGATCAAGAGGTGCCCCCGGAGGTCACCGTCGAGATGAAGTCCCTGGAGGAACGTCTGGCCCTGCTCCGGGACCAGCACGGAATCCCCCCGCGGCAGTGATCAAGAACCCAGAGGCTCAGGACGGCGGCGTGGAGGAGTTCTACGACTGCGAGGAGGTCCACAACGACGGCGAGGATAATCTGAAAGAGAACGACGAGAACTACGACGACTTTCTCTTCCACCTCGACTCCGACGAGACCGGGAACCTCCCCAAGGCGGAGTGTGTGCCTACCCAGGAAGCGATGGTCACCAGCGGCAGTGGGGATGTAGTCCAACGTGAGACCACTGGAAACAAGGCGGCCGAGGCCGTGAATTGTGAGATGATCGCCCGGGAAAAGCTCAACCTCAAGCTCTTCACCTACGAGGACCTGCTGGAGTTGGCAAGGACGGTTCCCCTTCGGAAGACCCCCAAAGGAAAGGGCTTGCAACGAGGCGAAACCCTGGAGTACTTCCTCGCTGGCATGTATACCTACGGCCCGATGAGTGGGATCTCCAGGGCCAGTCATGAGCTGCCCTGGACGGTGAAGTACGTGAACTCCTTTATGAAAGCTCAGGGCTTCGGGCAGTGGTCGTCCTTCGTCCTGTTCAAGAACGCCGCGACCTCCGTGCACGCCGACGCGCACAACCTCCCGAACACCACAGTGAAGACGGTTTCCTTCGGCCCTTTTTCCGGAGGAGAATTGTGGATGAGCGACCTTAATCGGCCGGCTGATTCACCCGACACCCAATGGAGGGACGATGCTCATGGAAATCAACTTCCTGGCTACAACGTGAACACCAAGGACTCAGTGTACGCCTTCAATGGAAAGATCAAGCACGCCACCCAGCCATGGGAAGGGGAACGGTGGACTTTGTCTTGCTTTACCACCAGGGGCTACCAACAGAGCACTGTGGCCGAGCGCGACCAACTTCGCAATCTACGTTTTCCACTCCGTGGGATACCTCTACAACCCCCGGAGCGTGACGGAGACCTACTTCGCGCTACCAAGCACCGCCCCATGAAGAGTGTCAGGAAGGGACTTTGGAGGAAAGCCAGCCGACTCGCCGCTCTCACATCATGGTGCACTATGGCTGGGACGTCCTGTGCGGTGTCCCACTTCCCACTCTCGCGGGGATCGGAGGCCGTGGCTTTGTTTGAAATCGGAGGTTTTCACAAGACCCTGGAAATCACCGACTTGGGCTACTTGGCGGCGGAACCCTACGGCTACTCCAATGGTGGAGAGGACCTTCCACCCCTCGAAGCCATCTACGACACTATCCACGAGTTCAGCCCTGCAGTGGTTTGGCTCCATGCTAAGCCGACGGCCTCCTACGTCAAGGACATCACCGACTACCTATCTGAACACATAGATCAGGGCCGTCAACTGGCCATCGAGGCTCCCCCTGGTGATCCTTGTTGGGCAAGCGAAGGGATCAAAGACCTACTGGCGAGGTACGATGGCAAGTGGCACCACCGTCGCGAGGAACCAGATGTACTACGAGTGAACGACGACTACTACGAGGACAACCGAACCCCTGCCGACGAGGTGATCCCAGAATTCCACGCCTACGTGACGGAGTATAAGCCCGAGGCCGATGATAGCGAAAATGTGGACAAGGCCCCGAAGATCGGGGCCGAAGCGATCTCCTTCGAGAATGGCAAGAACCTGGCTCCGGAGGTGAAGTCATCTCTCAGACGACTCCACCAGAACCTCGGCCACCCCTCGAACACCGACCTCGCGAGGCACTTGAGATTGGCAGGAGCCGATCCCGTTTTGGTGGACGCGTGCAAGCGCCTTCAATGTCAAGTTTGCCAGCGGAACAAGAGAGGGGCGACACCTAAACCGGCCTCCCTGCCCAACCTCCTGGAGTTCAACCAGGTGGTCGCTGTGGACGCGTTCTACGTCTACGACTGCGACGGCGAGAAGGTTGAACTCATGATGGCAATTGATGTCGGTACTGGTTTTGCCCTGGCAGGAGAACTACGAGGACACTCTACACGTACAATGGAGGACTCCTTCTGCGCTTTGTGGAGCAACACTTTCGGAGCTCCTGGAACCTTGGTCGTGGATCTAGAATCTGGCCTCCAGGCAGGATTGGCGAGATTCAGTGAATGGCATGGTTCCTTTATCCGACCCATCGCAGGCCAGGCGCATTGGCAGAATGGGACAGTGGAGAGAGCCATCCGAACGTGGAAGGAGGTGTGGTCCCGACTGGTCGATGAGAGATCGGCTACGTCGGACGAGGCCAATATGGTGGTCACGGCTGTCAACAACGCGATGAACACTCTGAGGAGGGATGCCGGCTTTAGTCCGGCACAAGCCGTATGGGGACGTGATCCTCAGCTCCCTGAAGACGTCCACAACTCATTTCAAGACGACCACGTGGAGCACATTATCAGCCGAGACCGACAACGAGCTAGGGAACATGCACTTTGAGAATTGCTGCAAAGGAGGCCTACTTCAAGGTCCGGAACGATGCCAAACTCCGAAAAGGCCTTCTACAGCGATCCAGAGTGGGAGGTCCTGAACTGGATGTGGGCTGCCACGTTTTCTTCTACCGCAAGCCCAAGAACAACAAGAATTGGACTTGGCACGGACCCGGAGTTGTGATCGGAAGAGAAGGTCCAAATTACTGGATCTCCTTCTCAGGACGCTGTCATTTGGTGGCCCCAGAACATCTGAGGCTCGCGAGCTCCGAGGAGTTGGGGGCGGCCTTTGCGCTAAGGACCACGAAAGAAGATTTGGAGAAGCTGCTGGAACAGGACTTTGGCGACGAGGAGCTCTACGATCAGACTGAGGAGATGGACGTGGACCCTGAACTACCTCCTGGCAATGATCACCAAGGCGACGGCGGCGATGACGAAGATCACCCTGGACACCAACGGGGTGAAAGCAGCAGGAGAAAGGGCACTAATCCGCCCGCTCCAGTCACGAAGCGGCACAGGACTAAAGGACCCGAGGTTTTCGAGAACTCCGACCCCCATTCCACCTTCATGATGAAACTTCCGAAGACCCCAAGGGGTAGAGAGAAGGCCCTCGAGAAAGAAATCCCTTGGTCCATGGTGCCCGAGGAGCAGCAGCCCAACTTTCGCCAGGCGGAACGCAAGCAGTACGACGAGCACCGAGAACACGGAGCACTTGAACCTCTCTCAGTGGAGGACAGCCGAAAGATCGCCAAGGAACGCCCCGAGCGAGTGTTAAACAGCAGATTCGCCTACCGTGACAAGCACAGAAGACTTGGAGCGAGAACTTTATCTACGACAACCTAAGACCGGGCTCGGCGATCTCCATCCGGAACAGCTCCTACGTATCCGGAAACCCATCTTCGGTCTTGTGGATTCTCCGGCAGCATGGTGGATGAAATTCCATCGTACCTTGAAGAACATGAAGATCCGGGACGGCGACACCGAGTGGATGGTGGTCCAGAGTACTCTGGACCATTGCGTTTTCATGGTTCAAAAGGTCACGGGCTACGACGAGGATGGAGAGCCCCAACTTGAGGCACCTAGCGCCTACTTGGGAGTACACGTCGACGACGTGCTGTTGGTCGGAGATGCCAAACTCTGCGGCTTGGTGAAAGAACGACTGAGCGCTGAGTTCCCAATCCAGGACTGGGAAGAGGAAAAGTTTGAGTACGTGGGCTCCTTCATCGAGATCCTCGAGGACCGCGTCAAAGTGACCCAGGCGAGCTATGCGAACACGAGACTCTTCCAGGTGGACGTCGAGCGGAACAACCCCGACCACTTCGAGGCCAGCGAAATGGAGAAGCACGACAACCAGTCGCTTATCGGTGCTCTCTCTTGGATGGCAAGTCAAACTCGCCCTGACTTGCAGGTCGGCGTGTCAATGTGCCAACAGTGCCAGAAATCTCCGACAGTCGGAGACGTGCGATTTACAAATCAACTGGCACGACGCGCTATGGAACATAAAGAAGAGGGCCTGACCTTCTTCCCTGTGGACCTTGACCACGCCGTCCTGCTCTGCTACCATGATGCTGGATGGGCTAATGTCCCTCAGAATGACGAGGACCCCTTCTACAAGCTCACTGACGAGGAGAACCTACAAGGGAAGTTCCAGGACGGTCCCCTGGCGAGGAGGGAGGCGAAGATGAAGAAGACGAATTCTACAATCGCCTCCCAGCTAGGCGGACTCTACATGCTGGCAGACGACAAGGTTCTCTCCGGTGGAGAAAGTCACGGAAGTATTCTGGACTGGCGCAGCGGTGCATGTGAAAGAGTGTGCCGTTCAACTTTCGCAGCGGAGACAATGGCGTGTGGAACAGCGACTGAGACCGGAGATTTCATCGCTAAGTTCCTCGAGACTCTGCTCACCGGAAAGCTGGCACGTAGCTCGACTAGGTTCCAGATTCGCTTTCTGAGCGACTGCCGTAGCTTGTATGATCACTTGACTCGGGACGGAGTCCCGCGAGTCCCCACATGTAAGAGGCTTTCTATAGATTTGGCAGCCATCCGCCAAGATTTGAAGAGTTTTGGACGAATAGCTTGGGTGCCAACTGGAGCACAACTTGCGGATCTGCTCACGAAGCCTCTCCGTCCAGAGACTTGGTGGGAGACTATCAAGTCTCCCTTGAAGCTCACCTTCCGAGAAGAGGGAAGGAAAACATGTATAGATAAAGACTATTTGGAACCAGTGTAAAGCTCGAAGGTTCCTTTTCAGACGACCCGCTTTCGCAGGCACATGAGTCGGCCCAAAGCCAAAAGCGGCGAGGGCACTTTGCAGAGGCCCCGGGGGTCGGGGACTCGTCTTCTAGTTGTAAATTTAGGGATGTTTAGGGTTTAGATATGCATAGCAGAACTCCTGGAAAGCTGAGGTGACCGGTTGCACCCAAATTCTTTGCCCAGGCACGCCTTCACCGCTGCGATAACATCACCTGCGAAGGGGCAGCGTTCAGTGGGACACTTGACAGGTCGACGAGTTTCACGCAGGTCGACGAGTTTCACGCATCACATCAAATCCATGCACGTTTTCTGCTTCACCTTAACTGTTGCTCCGGGGCACTTGCAGTAGCAGTCCCCTCCACGGCCACATCCACGCTGTTGGAAAATGAAAGACGCACGGCAGCAGCAAAACCGGCGGCCCGGCTCTCGCCAGGCACGGCCCCGCCACGAATTTCGGACGCTGTCGTCTGCAGCATGCCTGTACAAAATGTTGGGGGGACTCCGGGCTCTGCGGGCGGCTAACGTGGACCAAAATTTCGCGGCACACGATGAATCGGAGCAGTTCCCAAGCGTGCAGCCGCCAGTATCCCCAATGCCGCAGCCGACATCCAACTGAGAAGCTGACGACGAAGGGGCAATGATGGCACCGCCTGTTCTCCAACGCATTCTTTGAAACAAAGGAATGGAGACGTCGTTCTGTGTTCGTTCTTTCTGCGTGGCACTGAAGGAATAGTCATACTCGATATGTGAAGCAAGGTTTGGCGGTATAGTCTAGTTCCAGTCTACAAAAGGCTGTGTTGACAGGACTAATTACTTCGCAACTCGCTGAATCTGTCTTGATTCACACGAACGAACCCTGAACCCTTCGGGTCTCTGCACACTCGTGGCTCCAAGCACGAAGTCCCGCACCTTGAACCGAAACAAGACACCGGACTCCACCAACGTTTTTGGCTTATCTGGGTGGTGGTAAAGGCCTTTAGGGACTGTATATTGGGTTAAGGATCGGGGGTTCAGGCTGGCATTTAGGTGCACGGACTTAAGGCTGAGGGCTCAGGCGTAGGGACTGTTTGAGGTTTTGGGGCAAGGAGCTTTCTGCACCTCTGGCCTTTTTCTTCCTTCCCTGGCGGTAGTTGTCGGCTGGACCAACACCCAGCAATTGTTGCAAGGGGCCCACATCTCCTGCTGGTCTTTGAGGTCTTTGTCTGGAGCCGGAACAGAAGATTTCGTGAACATTTCGGTGCGTATGTAACATGCGTCATGAAGAGGAGCTTGGCGCACCAAAAACACTCAAGGCCCAGCAGTTCTGGCCCCTAAGGTGACCACTGAGGTCTTGAAGCTACAATGCATGCGGTGATCCAAAGCACCGTGGGATCTTTAAAGCTGCAGGACAACCCCACCTCACGTTGCAGCCAAAAGGGTCTACAGTGCGGGTTTTGGTGTGACATAGGATCCACGATATATAGAGACCCTAGCCATGTCTTCTTTCTAGGCGTACAGATAGGAATTTGAGGTTCCACCACTCACCTGCACAAACGAAAAGAGAGCCCAACTCGATGGTCTTGAACGCAAACCCCCGCACCCGCGTTTTGAGTGTAGAGTTTAGGGATGGTTTAGGACTGACGGAAGACAGTTTTCGGTCTGTGCCCATAAAACATCCAAAAGGCTGAACCTCCCTATGGAATCTCCTAGCCCCTAGGCGGAAACCTCTAAGCTCTGAGCTCGAGGCAACAAAGTAGGAAGAAACTCAAGCACTTTCCCGCGAAATCAGCGATCCTACGATAAGATCTTGGGAATGTGCTGCTTTACCATCTCGAGATTGCGGAAGAATACCATCGCCCACTACGTAGACTCTCAGGTTGCACTCGTCACACACCCTGATTCGCTTTGGTTGAGGCTTATGCATCGTAGGGCTTGGGTGGGGGATGTTCAGGCCGAATACACGCAGGGCCTCCCGCCCTGTGCTGGGGACCTGTGTGGTGGGAGCCGGCAGAGCGAATTCGCCACGAGCCGCGACCGAAGGGTATGCACATGAGTGGCGGGCTCGGGCCGCTGTACTTCTTGCCAGGTGGACGGAAACCGTAAAGCCCAAAACCGCAACCCAACCGAACCTCCAAATCCTGAACCTGAATACAAAACTTATACACCCTTGAACCCCAAACCCAAAACCCCTGAACCCTAAACCCTGAACTGATACCCCCGTGCCTCGGGCCTTGAGGTCAACCTGCCAAGGAAATAACAAACTCACACGACATCACGCGGTGAAGCGCAGCCACTTCGGCGACTTCTCGAAAGCCCTCAAGAAGTCCTGGCAGGCCGGGTGTTCGGTCTCTTCCTCAACCCGAAACCCACAGAAACCCCAAACTCTATAAACCCCAGGCCCAGGCCCCCCAAACCGCGAACACAACTCAAGGTACCAGTCCTGATTGAAACTTAGGTCTCAGAAGCTATGGTCTCTGGCTGCTGCTTGCAACCTATCTTTGAGAAGGTACCTTCTGAAGAGCGACTGCTGTAACTTGGACAAAATACATGCACAACTTTACGGTAAGTCCTCGGCTTTTCCGGTTTGGGGGTATAGGGTTAACCTTAAATCTGGAGCCCCAAACCTCCATTACAGTATGATGATATGAAGCAGACCCCAACGCTTTGGTGAGTGAATCTACGGTTCAGGGCCTATTCTGTATCAGGACCCTACACCCTTAACCCTAGATCCTAAAACCTAAAAGGGGTCTGGTCCTCATCCTTTTCTGTGGTCGACTTGATGTGGCCCATGGGCAGAAGCCTCGCTCCGACGGTCGTGGCATGTACATACCCATCCGTCGCACATGTATGCAGAAAAGTATATACATATATATATATATATATACACATACGTATACATATACATGAGCATATACATATACGTATACGTATACGTATACATATATATATATGTTATATGTATGTACACACATTTGTATGTATGTGGGTTCAGGTAGGCTTCAAAGAGGTGGAGTAGGGCATGCTATGCTACATTCAGTATCATGAGCTCGAAAAGGCCTCATGCAAGAGAGAATCCTGATGGCTTCCGCGATTTTCGACCACAACAACAGCAGCAGCAGAAGAAGCAGTGTCAGTCTTTGAACGGCTTGCAACAATAACGGCCATAGCGGTTATGGTACTAGTACTGACAAACATTAAGCGAAACATACAATTCCTGAATCGAAACCTAGATAAACATCCAGAAATCCTAAACCCTATACCCGCCGTGCTCTGAACCAACAAGCAAGGACGGGGCCTCAGAACGAAGTGGTCCACCATTGGAAGATCCTGCTATGACTCGCGGCTGATGCACAAAAGGGCAGCTGTTGGTTCAAAGTTTGGGCTTTGAGGGTTAGGGGTAGCAGGGTTCACGGCATTAGAGCGTTTGGGATTCGGGTATGAGGCTTTTCGGGGGTTTAAATTTAAAGTAGGATTTGAGGTTCAGGCAGGCCCCGTGAAAAGGTCTCGTGTCTCTGGGTATGGCCACGAGGCCAACAGAACCCTAATCTAAGTCGGAGCTAGGATTAGGGGGACCCTTGTTTTAAGAGAGCCAGAAGTAGGGTTCAGAAGGGGTACCCTTTAGGGGGTCTCCCTAACAATACTACCTACTAAGTCTTCCAACTCGACCACCGGATGTAAGTAGTCGCAGAAGCGTCGCGTAACCCACCAAAACACGGTGGAATAGTAGCCGACCCTAGGTCCCAAGCCCTAAATTTTTGTAAACCTAATGCCAAAACCTTGAAACCCCAAACCCTAAATTTTCTAAACCTAACCCCAAACTCTAAATTTTCTAAACCTAACCCCAAACTCTAAATTTTCTAAGCCTAACTCCAAGACCCAAAACCCTAAACTCAAAACATTCAACGCTTCTGGCCTCTGCTTGCCATGGAGCCGAGTGCAGCTCGATGATGTTCCAGGGCTGGCTCTCCAGGCCTAGAGCGAGAGAGAGACAAAGAGAGAGAGAGAGAGAGAGAAAAAGAAAGAGAGAGAGAGAGAGAGAGCTTTAGGGCTTTAGGGCTTCAGGGTTGAAGGGTTCAGGGTTTAGGGTTTGGGGCTTAGGGCTTCACGGTGTGCCTAGGAATTTCTGGCTCTAGGATTTACGGGTTAGGGTTCAGAGTTTGAGATTTGGGGCGGGAGGCAGCGTAGGAATGCTACTCCCTTGTAGCCCCTGAAAACTGCTCGAACTCTCGTCTCATTGTTCATGCTTCTAGCGTAGGCTCGGGGTTTGTAGTCCAAGCCCACGGAACTTCAGCCGTGAGGATGAAAGCTGAAAGGTGCCGGAGAGAGCTGAGAAGACTAAATCCAGCACAGGTTGCCGAAGAGTTGACCCCCGGATGCAGCAGGGGTTATAGGGTTTAGGGTTTCGGGGTTCAGGGTTAAAGGGTTTGGGGTTTAGGGTCATCTGGCTACTCATATGTCCGACGTATGAAAAGCTGGAAGCCTTCACAACCGAGACAGCTCGAACACCCGGGCTCTGCCTGAAAGAGGTTGTCAAGCCAGACAGTCTGCACACGCTCAAGCAGCAGAAGGCAGTAGCAGCATGGCCACGTCATCGTCGTCTTCGCCGTCGTCCTCCTTCTCCTGCTCTTCACCTTCTTGGTCCTCGTCCTTGTCGTCTCGTCCTGGTCCTCCTGTTCGTTATCTTATCATTGCTGTCCGTCCTGTCCTCGCCCTCTTTCTCGCCATCGTCATCGTCGAAGGCATAGTAGCAGGAGCAGTTGCTGCCAGTTGTAGGTTCATGACGATGCTGATGAACACGACACTGTGCCTGTGTTGTTCGTGATTACTGCTTGATTACCAAACGAGTAGCAGTGATGCTGGTGATGGTGATGACGATGCCGGCAGCGGGCATTGTCATAATGGTCGCTATGTTCTTGCTGTTGCTACTCCGACCAAATGTCCTCATAATGAAGTAATGCTGCCACTGTTGTCACTACTGCTGCTTCAATAATATTGCTTCTTGCTGCTCTGGCTATGGCTGTTGCAGTTGTAGTAAATCATAGCGGCTGTTATCTAAGTAGCTGATGTCTTTGTGGCAAATGTCGTTACTCTTTGTGCTGGTGCTGTTCTCGGCTGTAATGCTACTGTCATGTGTGTTACCGCAACTGTCAAAGCGATGGTTGTTTTCCATGGTGTTGCTCTTGTCGTTGTGCAACATGTGATCCCTGTCAGCTGCACTCACTGAACCGTTGTGTATGCGTCCCTCTGAGTCTTAGCTCAAGAGGGGCCCCTTTTGTAGCGGCAGCTCTTTCGAGCCACGGAGCCAACGGATCGTGCGGTGCGCACGGTGCAAAAGAGGAGAGCGCTGAGCTCTTAGACTTTGTGTGTGAGCCCAATCTATCGACCTCTCTGCGCCACCCTGCTGCATTGGCAGCGGAGCAGTGCAACGATCCGGGCGCTGAACTGCTTCCTAAGGAATCAGGTCTTTCAGTGAGTGATAAGCTACCTGGCCAACTGCAGAAGCCACAGTCTACCTGCCAGTAGCTGCCCTGTGTCCTCAGTGCGTGCGATACAGGTTTTCTTCTTTTCTTGAGATCATCGTTTTTCCAAGAAGACATGTCGGGGGAGAAAGAGCAACATCATATTCCCTCGTGGGACGGAAGTGCCCGTTCCTGGCGTCGGTATACGAAAGAGGTTTCATGGTTCGTACAAAGCACTGCAGTGAACAAGAGGCGGTACTGCGCTTCTCGTCTACTCAGCAGGTTGACTGGCCCTGCAAGGCTCTTAGCGATGAGTTGGAGCTGGAACAAGATGCATTTCGACACGCCTGAAGGCACCAAGCTGTTTCTGCAACGTCTGGCATCCTCACCTTTGGTGAGGAAGAATCTTCCCAACGCAACTGCTATATGCAACCAGTACTTTGCATTTCAGCGGCGCTCCGGCGAGAACATCAGTTCGTTCCTCGTTAGGGAGTCGTTGGTTCATGAAGAGTTCTGCGAAGCCATCATACGGTTGCATGAGGATCGGCTTGGCATTTCTCAGGAGTCTCGCGACTTTGGACTGCCACCCGAGGAGACTTATTCTTGGGATGACGAGTCTTGGGCTGGCGCCACCTGGTGGCGCGATGAGTGGGGCGGTGACGACCCAGATCCAGAAGGCGATCCTGAACCTGCTCCTGGCGCTGATTCTCCAGAAGCTCGCGCCGGAGATGCGGAAGTACTTCATGAGGGAGCCACGACCTCAGCGGCTCCGGGATCCTCGCCCTCTCATGGTGGAGACCGCTCTCCACTTCGACGACCTTCACAACAGGATGTTCGACCAAGCGCTGAACAACCCAAGGCCGTTGATGAATTGGCGCTGGCGGACAGCTTCATCATGGAAGTTCTCCGGGGGTGGCGGCTTCTCCAAGCCGCTGGCCTCAATGCGGAGGAGAAGCGGGACATCCTGTCGACGACGAAGAACAGTTTGGACTACGAGGTGATCGCGGCTGCACTTCAGAACTTGTGGGACGAGCAGCTCCTTGGCCAAAGACAAGGATCTTCGAGCTATCATGCGCACTACTCGGAGGCCGTGGACGCCGAGACCTCCTACTACCAGGACGCGTGGTGGCAAGAGGATGATGCGTGGTGGTATGAGGACTACTTCGTGGACGGCTACTACGATGACTCCTGGTGGGAGAACTACGCGGCCGAAGGGCATGAGCAGATGGTGGCATCGGAACCCGAAGATCCGGAGAGTCTTGCGAAATACAAGGAGGCTCAGCAAGCAGAGAAGATCGCCGAAGGATTGGCGGCCGAAGCCCAGAGAACCTGGGCGGAGGCCCAGAGGGCCACCCAGGCTCTTAGGAAAGATCGTGGCTTCGGGGCTATGTCTGCCCAAGGTCCGAGCGGTGGCTGCTATCTTTGCGGCGGTCCACACTTCTCCCGCGATTGTCCGAGGCGGTCACAGATGTCCTTTGGAAAGGGTCCGAAGGGCAGCAACCGCTTCTCGAAGGGGAAGGCCAAGGGCTACATGAACGAGATGGACGAGGACTACTACGCCAACGCCTTCAAGGGCAAGAGCAAGGGAAAGGGTAAGAAGGGCTACTACGTGGATCCTGCCTACGCCATGTGGAGCTCGAAGGGCAAGGGGAAGTCCAAGTCCAAGGACTCCTACCGACCCGTCAATGCCTATCAAAGTGAACTCTTCGTCGGCGGCTTGGATATGGTTCTCGAGGCAGCTGCTGCTTCCTCTGAGCCAGTGGATCCGAACGTGGGGATGATCGACTGCGGCGCCACCGCAAGCGCAGCTCCTGAAGCAGTGGTTAAGGGCCTGATCAATGCTGTCCTAGCTCAAGACCGTAGCGCTCAGATCGAGATGGACCAAGCCTCGCGACCGTATTTCAGGTTTGGGAATGGGCGCTGGGGTCGGGCACTCTGCAAGGTCCGTTTCTGTAGTCGAGCATCCGGAAGCCCCAAGCACTTTGCCTTGTACGTTCTCCCAAATCCCACGGAGTACTATCAAGCGGACTTTGATAAGGGATCTCTTGTACCAGTTCTGATTGGCATGGATCATATTGGCCCGACCGGTGTTGGCATGATGATAGACTTTGCTTCTGGTCTTGCTATGAACACTTCGGAACCGAACCCGTCCATCTATAAGCTGGATAAGAGCAAGAAAGGGCACTATGTTCTTGACATTGTCCGGTACCTAACCAATGGAATCAAAGTCTTGGAAGGTCAAGCTCATGTTGTAGTCAGATCCAGTTCTTCTTCGGCGTGTGCATTGGAGCAGCAAGTGATTGAGTTGCGTACGATGTGGTTTGACATGGCTGCATGCGACCATGACTTGAGTGAGCTTGACAGGGAAGTGGCTGAAGCTAGAATGTGGCAACTTTACGATGCGAGTCGAACTTCATCGGTCTCTTCGGCCATTGCAGCTCAAGTATCGATGCACGGCCCGTCGGCCCATCGCTTGATTTCGACTCCTTCCTCTTCGTGCTCCCCCAATGTCGGCGACTCCTTCCCGACATCTCGACCCGGAGGTGAATGCGATTCTTCAGCAGGCTGCAAAAGCCAAGGCGAAGGCCAAGGCGAAACCGCTGGACATGAGCCGCGCCCAGAAGATCGACAGTCGCGATCCCAGGGCACACAAGAATCAATGGCCATGTCTGGGGCAACACAGCCCGAGTCCTGCCAAGGGCAACGGTCACGGACAGTGGATACATTGCCAGGTCTGCGATGTTCGACTCCTGTATGTCCCTCGACACGGCTCAACCGGTCAGAACACCCAGTGCAAGAATCCGGAAATGGTCTCAAGGTGTCTCCGGGAACTTCGCAAGCTTCTGGGGGATCGACTCCATTCGGCACCGTTGGTGCATGCTATGCAGGCCAAGATCGATGCGGAGGAGACCTTGAAGGTGATGATCAACAACCATCTGGCGACACCTACGGCGACGAGCTCAACGCTGACCGGCATCAGCCTGAACGAGGCGACGACTTCTGCGGCGGGCTACCAGACGGAAAATCCCGAAAGTCCAGAGTCACTTGGCAGCTGGGCGATGACGAACGCACAGGGCCGAGAAGTGACTCTCGAGGAGGCGTATGCGGCTCTGGACCACCAACAATGACTTCATCACCTACGGCTTTCGCGACTCCAAGCTCAAGGGAAGAACGAGGTGACGAGACGACCTCTACGTGTTCGGAAGCGGGAAGGCAAATTGCTCCATCTACTACATCCAAACCACTCAAGGAGAGCAACTTGCCACTCTACATGGGCAAGAAGGTCATGAATGCCGTGACCTTGATGATGGCTATGACCTCCCAGCTTCTACTACAGCTACACCTTGATGGTAGAGATGGTCTCTGGGAAGTGTCATGCGCACCCCATTCGTGGATGAGTAGTTCTGCTCAGGAACATGGATTACAACCTCGCTCCATAAACCTTCCCTCTGGCTATGATCTGTACAAGGCCGAAACTTGGCAACGACTACGTGGACTCCGACAACAACATCGGCCTCAGAGGATTTGGTTTTCGCTACCTTTCTCCAAATGGAGCTCTTGGAAGAACTTGAACTACAACAACCTCCAGGAGAGAGAAAGATTGGAGACCTACCGGCGACGAGATCGTCGGGTGTTATGGTGGATGAACGCTTTTGTCAAAGAAGCCCTCAGCGAGGACCCCAGCTTGCAGATCTACTTCGAATGGCCGACGCATTGCCATGGCTGGAAACAGCCTCCTCTTGAAGACCTCGCGAACTTTCTGGAGGATCAAGGAATACCCTGGCTGTCCTGCCGGATTGATGGGTGCAACTACGGCATGAAGAACCCTCAGGACGGTCTCTTCGTGAAGAAACAATGGACCGTGAGGACCACCGATGAGCAATTTCACAAAAGCTTCCGAGCCAAAGTATGCCCTGGTTGTCATGGAAAACACAGCGTTCAGGAGGACTACGAGACCAACAAGGACGCCTACTACCCGTGGAAGATGGTCCAGTCGATTGTCAAACATTGGTGTGCTTCCATGACACCGTCCCGCCACTACCAACTTCTTTCTCTACGACAAGATCTGCCAAGTCTACAAGATGAAGATCCGCAAGCGGCCTCGGAACAGTCTTCTACGGTGGATGAGGCGGTGTGTGATTGGCCAGACAGCGAGTATGTATCAGAAGGTGATCTTCAAGGATTGACATCGACTACCAGTGAATTGTCCGTCCCAGCTGGTGATCTTCAAGGATTGACCTCGACAACCAGTGAATTGCCTGTCCCAGCTGGTGCCCTAGAAGACTTGATCAACTACCACCTGGTCCGAAAGAACTTCTCGTTTGATGTCCTTGAAGATATCTTGATGCAGCAATGGTCTGGTGCTCCCAAGTCGGTCTCCAACCACACTCGGTGGCGTGACGGCGCTGGACAAGCCCTTCTTCTGGGTGCCTATTCCCACGGCAACATGAAGGGAATCAGCCGTACGTCCTTCAACCATGTGACCCTCCTGAAGTACATCAACGGCTTTCTTCGATATCACCTACCTGATGCTTCCTGGTCGAGTGTGATGGTGTCCTTCAACCGTTCTGTTTTCCCCCATCGTGACCACCACAACGACAAGGACTCCGACAACCACCTGGTTTGCGTTGGTCCCTATGAAGGCGGAGGCATATGGCTTTCAGGAACCTCATCTACTACCAGCCACTGTGCCCGACGGCGCATACCAGATGGTCGTGTTCTACTTGGCCGTGTGGAACCCACAAGGCACCGATGTGTGTCCTTCAGTCCGATGTGCTGGCATGCTTCACAACCGTGGAAGGGGACCAGGATAGCCATATCGGCTTACACTACGAGGCTGGCAACGCATCTTGATGAGTCTCATCAACGGTGTCTTCGGCAACTCGGTTTTCCTTCGTTACGACTTCGGCGACCACCTACTCCACCGCAGCTCTTGACCGCTGAGACTGTGGATCTTCCTGACGGAGTAGATGAGGCTACCTACCGGAAGTGGGAGGCCCAAGTGTCCAAGTTCCACAGGGCGGCCGGGCATCCTACCAATCGCAACCTTGCCCGTATTGTGGAAGAGGCAGGTCATGACAAGTGGAAGGTGGAGGTGGCACGGCATCACCATTGTCCTTCCTGCCAAAGTCTCAAGCCAGGGGGAACGAGTTCTGGCCAAGTTCCTCCGACGACCACTCATGCGCTGTACCCAGCATGGCACGCTATTGGTGTTGACTCAGGCGAGTGGGTGGTCCCCAACAAGAAGCAGAAGGTGAAGTTTTTGGTCTTTGTGGATGTGACGACGAAGCTGCGTGTGGTGCAACCTCTTCATGTCTACGACTTCCTTGAGATGAAAACCGAGAGCGCGGAAGAAGTGATGACCTCCCTTACGGATAAGTGGCTTGCTGTCTTCCCCAAGCCCAAGGTCCTCTTGATGGACTCGGCAAGGAGCTTTGGTTCGGATGCTTTCATGAGTTTGCCAGCTCGTTGAACATCCAAGTGCACTACATTGCTGAAAAAGAACATTGGGCGCACGGCACGGTGGAAGCAGTTGTTCAAGACATCAAGATGACTGCCTCTGCCATTCAGCTAGAAGCACTCGACCAAGATCCTCGTATTACCTTGCAATTGGCCGCCTCAGCCTTGAACTCCACAGAGTACACAGCCGGATTTTCAGCATATCAATGGGCGTTTGGGAAACACTACGATCTCTCTGATGAGGATGTTCGGACCTTCACCAACACCGACTACCCTGGCGAGTTCATCAAGCTAGTGACTGCCCGACAGCAAGCCGAGACGATTGCCACCAAGACTCGCGCCTTGCGAGTACTTTCCAAGCTCTCCAACACAACTGTCAGGCAGCCTTTGAGGAGTTTCTCTCCGATGGATTTGGTGAAGGTGTGGAGAAAAGTGTGGCCCAAGGAACAATACAAAGGTCCACGCGGCGGCCTACGAATGTCTGGCAGACCGCACTGGGTCGGACCAGGACGGGTGATCTTCTGTGAGGTGATTCCACATCAAGAAGGCGGTGATGTTCGACGACATGTGTGTTGGGTTCTGATCGGGAAACAGCTCTTCAGATGTTCCGTTCATTCCGTGAGACCGGTGACTTCTACAGAACGATTTCAATTTGAGACATCGGGAGAGGAGCAGTTTCATCAGTGGAAGACACTGAAGGATGTCCTGCCTCAGCGGGAGTTTGTTGACCTCACCGACCAGGAGCCCAGTCCAGATGAAGTTGAACTTCCCAACCTTCCTCAACAGCCTGACAAACAAACCATAGTGGATCCACCTTCACGGCGAGTTCGAGCAAAGACGACACCCACTACTACGTCACCAATGCCAGCCGTGGACGATGAGGTCACAGGCAATACCTCGGCTCCTTCTACAATTCGGCCCGGTGAGAACGTCAACGACCACGACCTACCGGTTCCCAAGAAAGCCCGACAAGACGATTGGGTTGAAGATCTAGCGATGGAAGCCCAGCTGGAGGCCGAGCACGATATCTTCAAATGTCTGGAAACCATTGAGGAGCCCGTGGACTGCATGAAGATTGAGTTTGAAGTGGGCAATCTTTCCAATCGCCAGCGAAAGTTTCTTGAACGCAACCCTGTGAGCTTCATGGTTAAGAAGATGAGAGACTCTGAGGTATCAATTTCACGCCTGACACCTTCAGACCGTCGACTGTTTGACAGGGCAAAAATGAAGGAGGTTGAGTCCTTTCTGAAACATGAAGCTGTGAGGAAATGTTTGAGTCAAGAAGAAGTCCAGCAGGCCTTTGACCGCAACCGCATCATTCGTGCTCGCTGGGTCTTAACCTGGAAGGCGGTACCTCCTGAAGACCAAACTTCTGCAGCTGACGATGCTAAGAACAATGCCAAGACTACACACACAGCTGATGGAACGAAAAAGGCGAAGGCCCGGATCGTTCTGCTTGGTTTTGAGCACCCCAGCTTGTTGGACAGCAAGTTCAAGACAGCATCACCGGTGCAAAGCACGCTTGGGCGGAACCTCCTCTACACCAAGGCCATGCATGAGCAGTGGGATCTGGAAGGATTGGACATCAGCACAGCATTCCTCCAGACGATGCCGACCGAGGCCGACCGCGAGATATGGACCTACGGAGTGGAAGAGCTGCGCGAGGCACTTGGTGTCGGAAGTGAAGGGATCATGCGCATTCTGCGCAATGTCTACGGGAGTACCACGGCTCCCCGTGGACTCTGGTTGGACCTACACCGCAAACTCACAGCTCTGGGAGCTCAAGCTGTACTCGGTGAACGATGCCTATGGATTTGGCTGTCCAAGGTTCAGATGGATGGTGATCACCCACGGATGATCGGTGGCATGGGTGGTCATGTGGATGATTTTCACCGCACCGGTGATCGAGAATCACCAGAGTGGTTGGAAGTTGTCGAAAAGATTAACCAAGCCTACGAATGGGGCATGATTAAAAAGAACTCCTACCGCCATGCCGGCACTGATGTCACGATCAAGGAGGATGAGCATGGCTTTAAGAAGCTTGTGGTTGATCAGGAGTACTACATTGAGACGCTGCAAGACCTAGAAATTCCTGCAGACCGTCTCCGAGGAAACGATCATCTTCTACCCCGAGAAGTGGAGGCATGTCGTACAGCATTGGGAGCTCTCCAATGGCTTGCGGTTCAATCTCAGCCTCAACTTTGTTCGAGGTGCAACTTGCTTCTTACGGAGCTCGTTACCACTGGAACAATGAGCACAGCCCTTGAAATTCAGGGTATGATCTGTGAAATTCGGAACCAGTCCTACGCGCTCGAGTTTCGCAAGTTCCCCGACGCGCACCACTGGAGCGACATCGTCTTCATCAGCATGGGCGACCAGGCCCACTCTAACAGACCAAAGGGTGATTCGACTGGCGGCATGCTTACGCTTGTGGCCGGACCCGGTTGTCTGGATGGCAAGATGTGTCCTATGAGCTTGATTGGTTGGAGGACCTGGAAGCTCAAGCGGAAGGCCATCGGGAGCAACGATGCAGAAGTGCAGTCGATTCTGGAGGCCGAAGACCAGAACTTCAGATCACGACTACTCTGGTCTGAGTTGAACGGCGCTGGTGGACGACATGAACATCGCGTACTTCGTCGTGACATGGTCGACCAAGTGGAGGCTCAGATAGTGCGCATCAAGGGTGTTCTCTGCACGGACAGCAAAGGTGGTTACGATGCAGTGGAGGTGAACGAGTCACCGCTTTTGGGCCTGAGCAACATGCGCGCAGCCCTTCAAGCATTCCAGCTGAGGGACAATCTTGAACGTGCTGCTTGCCAACTTCGCTGGCTTGCTTCAGACTACGATTTGGCCGATGCCCTGACCAAGAAGCGAGCTGATGCTCGGCAAGGACTTCTACGATTCCTAGCTTCCGGAGTCTGGGCAATCAAATACGACCCAAACTTTGTCAGTGCACGCAAGAGCAAGCAACGAGGTGGCGGAGCTCTACGCGACCATGATGACCACTTACGAGGTGATGGCATGTGGCTCGATATCCTGTACAAGTTTTTCTCCTGTCCATACGATGATCCCGAAGTGCAGCTGATGTCTTTTGGGGGTTGATGCAACATGTGATCCCTGTCAGCTGCACTCACTGAACCGTTGTGTATGCGTCCCTCTGAGTCTTAGCTCAAGAGGGGCCCCTTTTGTAGCGGCAGCTCTTTCGAGCCACGGAGCCAACGGATCGTGCGGTGCGCACGGTGCAAAAGAGGAGAGCGCTGAGCTCTTAGACTTTGTGTGTGAGCCCAATCTATCGACCTCTCTGCGCCACCCTGCTGCACGTTGTGAAGACTCCTGGCATGGTTGCTGTTGCTGGTACGGCCCCAGCGGAAACCCATCTCTGCTAGAACATACCTCAATGACACTGTGCTCCGGACGTCGCGCGTCAAGTGCTGTGGCATCTTCGACATGGCATGGCCTTGGCCAGGGCCACACCAAGCACAAATGCACTGCACCATGACATAAGGGCTGTGGATGTTGGCTTGAGCTGTCTGCAAACTGTCGACAAAAGAAGTCCCTCTTTTCAAGCCTTGCCAGCAGAGCAGAATGGCCCGCAAGACGCATGTTAATCATGGCCATAATTCATGCCAACAAAGTTCGACCTAATGTAGGATACTGTCGGTCTGCCAAGAAAAAGCTGATGGGCTCGGGGTTTGTGGCTTTGTCCAACATATGGGCTCATGGGGCATTTAATCCATTGATGCCGGAACTGCAAGGAGACACTGTACTACTTGTTCTGACCGGACCCCTATATCACGGCTTTTTTGCTGAGTGGTCCCTGTGACCTGTCTCATGTTAGGGCTCCTTACTCGGATCCTAAACTAAACACGAAATCCAAATCCCTAAACCCCAAAGATCCCTAAATCCCTACACCCTGAATTCTCAATGCCGGTTCTCTAAACTCCCAAACAAGAATCGGGCTCTGGGCTCTGACATGACATGCGAGGAAAACTTTAGGGTTTAAGGTTTAAGTTACCATAACAGGGATCTACGGTCAATAAGATGGATTCCTTGTTATGGTACCTTAAACTAAAGCCAACCCAAAAATCGAGCAGCGACTGCCACGTCTCTGAGGCCGCAGCACTCCCATGCCGTCACAGGCCCTCCTGCAGACGGAGAGCGCAGCGCAATCTCATATGCTGTAGAAAGTACAGCATTACAATAATTTGTTCTAGTATAGACTAATGTGACTTTTGAAATGAATAGTTCGGGTTTAAGTTTCGCGGGCATTAAAACCACCCGCGTGCTGAGGACTCCACGAGATCAGTGCTAGAAGGCAGAGGTGCTTCTGGGTTTAAGGGGTCGGGTTGGGTTGATTTTGATATTGACTGCCTGACATGCAAATCGATTCGGACAACCCCGCTTGGCCCAATTTGCTTCCCGGGCTCCCGAACAAATTTGGAGTTTGCAGCAACTGTACAAATATACCCCGAACCCGCAATCATAGAAAGAGACCAAAACTAGAAAAACAAAAAACTATCATTCCACCCTAAATCCTGAACCCGAAACCAGTAGATAGTGTTTATAGGGGCCTTAATAATTAGAACAGGGTTGTGGGGCACATTATACTATAATTAAAATAAGGAACCCCTAGAATAGTATCGATAATTAATAAGTCCCCTGTATTAAACTCTATGAACCGATATTGTGCAGTGCAAAGCCTATGTCACGCGGTGCAGTTTCAGCTTAAACTGCCATTGTCTTGGCCTTTGAATGGTAATCGAAACCCTAAACCCACAAAACCTGAAACCCTCAGCCCTAAACCCCCAAGGACTACGTTGAGCATCTTCGAGAGCATTGTGAAATCCAAGCCTTTTCAGTCTCCTCTCATATGAGGGCCTGAACATTAGTACATGCTTTCGCGGTAGATATCTGTATAGTTATGATAGGAACACTGCTACTAGTACTGCCTGTTCCGACCCTACTTGCAAGTTTTGACAAACCTCAAAGCCCCGTTCTACTTATGCAAGTTTCTGAAGCGAATCGGGATACATTTTGCTGTACATTCAATAGGAACCCTAAGAAATCGTGCCAGTAACTGCTCAAGCTTCTATTCTAATGTAGGGGCATAAGATACTATAGATACAATAAGGAACCCTAAGGAATAATGTTGGTAATTGTTGAGGCTTCTATTTTACCCCCTTTTAAAGGGCAATCCCACTCCTCGCAGCATCGAGACTGGCAGCTGGCGCATCTGCGGCCACAGAGACCACCAGGCCGTCCTGCGTAGCCCCGAGGCTCCTAAACCCTGAATCCCTAAACCCGAAACTCCGGTTAAGGCTTAGGGTTTAGGGTTTAGGGCCCGCAACCCTCAACCCTGAACACTAAACCCTAAAACCTGAACCTTAATGCAAAACCAACCTGCCCAAACCCCCCATGATCTTGGTCCGCATCTTGGAGGTAGGAACGAAACCCGAAGCCGCAGGCCATCTCCCCAAACTCTAGACCCAAAAGCAAAACTCGAAAGAATCCAGGCCCTGAGGAATCCGAAGGTCCTCAAGTCCCCGACATGCTTGAGAACCTTAGACCTGCGGTTGTTCGGGTTTAGGGTTTAGCATCTATCTAACCCGACACCCGTTGAAAGCCTTCGCGTTGGTGAGCGCGAAGGGAAGCACGTGAAGTGCGAAGCTCGATAATTTATCCTCCCAGCTGGACAGGGACGCGCACTCGCTTCATCTGAAACCACTTCAAAGTCAAAGTCACGGCGACGACAGTGAAGACGACAAAGATGATGATGTTGTTGATGATGATGATGATGATGATGCTGGTGGTGGTGATGCTGGTGCTGATGCTGATGCTGGTGATGACGATGATGGTGATGATGATGATGATGATGATGATGATGAAGATTGATGATGATCATGATGATGATGGTGATGATGCTGATGATGATGATGATGATGCTGGTGCTGACGCTTATGCTGATGCTGATGCTGATGACGATCAGGAGAAGAAGCAGGACGAGTACGAGAAGGAGAAGGAGGGTGATGATCATGACCCTGGCCATGGCATTAGCTGTCAACAACAATGATGCCGTGCTGCTGGGGATAGGGGTGGTGTGAGGGAAGGCGGCCATAGTGATGATGACGACACTAAACGAACCTGGAATTAAATGTACGGTTGAACATAGATCGGCAACTGGCTTCTTGCAATCGGTAGCACAAACCTGCACTCCTCAAACTTCTGCACTCAGTATGAGCCCGTGCGAACAACCTTGACCGTCCCCGAACCGTCGAAACCTTAAACACTGCGGTTCCACTGCTCAGGCGTGCCGTGGCTGCAAGGCGCAAGATAGTGGACACTGGGTAGAGAGGCGGACGCCTCAGAAGAGATTCCCGGGCTTGGGCTGCAAATCTTTCGGAAGCTTCTAGTGACTCAAAAACGAGAAAGGCTTCAGACGGCTTGGGGCTGGCTCTACACCCGAGCCAGCCCATGTCGCGGCAGCCAACTCTGAATAGCTGTCAAAAGCAGGGCACCAGACTTCGTCAGGAAATTTTTAGCATACAGGGACTACAAGCGGATGCAATCAATGCGTCACTATGTGTTCCGACCCTATGCTTCCTGCTGCCTGGCGGCTGGAGGCCCCACAGCGTCGTCCGTTGGCCACAACCTACCTTTGGCCCGCAGCTGTCCTCGAAGGCATCTGCAATGCAGGGCTCAGAAAAAGACAGCCGGGTTACTGGTTAATGTAGGAACCTGATCAAGAAACCCTGGGCCTACAACCCCAAAATAGTAGGATTCATATAAGGAACCCCAGTAAAGGCTCAAGGTTTCTGAATCAGGTTCCTACATTATAGAACCCCTTATAGATCCCTTACAGGAATCCTTACAGGAACCACAACTCTTTTAGGGATTTGATGCTTGGAGGTGGTGAGGCTTCCAGCGTCGGCTTCGGACCAGTGCAGAGACCCTCGCCAGCGACGCGAGCATACCTTGAAGACAAAAACCATAAGCCCCTAAACCCCTAAACTCAAACCCCAAAAAACCCTAAATCCTCAATCCCTAAACCCTAATCCCTAAACCCTGGTCCCTAAACGGGCCTTCAAGTATTCTGCCAGCAAGACCCCATAGCCGATCGCGTGGTCATCTCCTGTCGTTCTCCTGAGCCAAGTCCGCTGAGACTACCAAGGCGTTAGGCGAAGCTTAGGGTTTAGGGTTTAGGCTTCAGGGTTTGGGGTTAAGGTTTAGGGTTTAGGGTGTAGGGTCCGCCGACCCTGGCGGCATCTTGGATGGGTGGGTTTGGAGGTGTTAACCTCCCTTTTTCCGGGTACCCCATGGCTGTTTGCAAGCAGCACCCAAGCCCCCAAAAGCATCACACCACAGCCCATTGGGTTCAAATCAGTTCACTGTAGGAGACCACCAATTTTTTTCTCCTTTTCCTGCTGCCCTCCCCCTCTCCCCCCTCCTCCCCTCTCCCCTCCCCCCTCCCCCTCCCCCTGTGCCGATACACCCACAAGGAAATGCTCCTTGTTAGGAGGTGTATGACCAGTTTATTCCCTAAGGATCAAAGGGCAGCGCCCTGCACACGGACAGTAGTTGTTTTGTCTTGCTACGCAAGGAGAGCTTGTCTTGTCTCAATATGGTAAAACCACTGTGAGCCAATGGGCAGCGGAATGTATATGTATGAGCATGCAGCCATTGCTGTAGGTACCTGTTAGAGCTACCCCTTTAGAGGTTTACGCAAACAAACAGACACTAATTTTCTTTTACCGGAAGCATGGCCGCACATTCACACATATACTATTATGCCCACTGTCACAGTTGCGGAGTTTGGACTCATGATAAAAACAGCATATTGTTTATGCTAGGTATAGCACTGAAGTACACTGTTGAAGTCACTCCTTTTGAACTCTTTCATGCACATTGGTCAGAGAGATCATCTGTACAAGATCAGGTCTGGTAATGTTCTTCTATCGAATTATGCAGCCCTTCACTGTGCTCTTGTTAGAGCCTTGTGAGTCACTGTTGTGAAACTCTGAGAATTTTCTTATCTCAGATTTGGATCCAGGTTTGGATCATAGGCTCGAGCATAGACGTTCGGATGTGGTTCATCCGGGTCTGAG